AATTATAGCTTTTTATTTATCGTTGATTTTATTATTTTTGATTTTGGTTTTTTGAATTGTCTACTAAATTATAGGACTTAACAAATAATAACAATAATGACTGTAATAATATGTTATATAACTTTATATGATATCAATTGCAAACCACACATAAAGAGAAAAATAGAGAAAATAAAAAACAAAAACAAAAAACAAATTAATTATTTTTTTTAAAGATATTTAATATTATAATTAAGTTTTACTAAATTTTATTTTTCTAACCATAGATTCGCATATAAAATAACATTTAATAGTTTTTTTGTTATAATATTTAAACATTATATATACGACATATTAGATATTTATATACATATATATATATTAAATATTTTTTATATATATAATATAAAATAATAGTTAAATCACTATTAAGATCATTTGGTCAATTAGATTATAATAATAATAATAATAATAATAAATAGCATTTAAATTATTCATATATAATATTGAAATTAAGGCCAACAATAGTAATAATAAATTTCAATAACAATTTGAATTCAAAAAAACCAAATATAAATAATAGCCAATAATTTTTTTTAAATTAAATTTTATTTTTGTTTTGTTTTCTAAAATAAAATTTAAACATTAAATTACAATTCATCAAAAAATAATAGTTATATTTAATTTTTTTAACAAAAAAACAAAAACAAAATAAATCTTTAAAAAATAAAATACTAGTTTTTCTGATCACTTTTTGATCCATTAAATCTAATATAAATTATTATAAATAATTTAACTTTTAAGTAATGTTGACATTTAATTAATTAATTTTTAAAAAATAAATATCAATTTTAATCATAAATCACAATATAAAACAATTTATTATAATTAATATATATATATTTTGATAAATAACAAAATTAAAATTAATTATTTTCATTTTTAATGATAAACTAATAATTATTATTTTTTAAATATTGTTTTCATATAAACTATAAACTAATTAAATAATTAATAATACATTTTTTAGTTTATATTTTTTTTTTAAAGATAACATTAGTTTTTTATTATTAGATATTTATTATATAAAAAACAAAAAGTTAAAATAGTGTAATGTGTTTACAATAATAAGTTTACTGTTAAATTAACTCGATAACTGTAATTTGTTTTTTTTATAACCAAGCTATTTTTTAAAATTCAACAACAAAAATTTTATGATCTAGTTTATTTTAATAAATATTATCATCATCATCATCATCATCATGTCAAGTGATCGTTATTGGAAACGTTACGCTACCGGACCTACTGATAGTGATCCGATAATAGGTAGACCACGTCCTAAATTAGGTGATCTTTAAAAAAAGTCTATTTTATTAAACCACATAACCTTTAATCAATTATACTATCGAACGTACGTGGATCACTTGTGGCAACCAGGGTTTTAAAAATGGCAGGCATAAACAATAGATGCCTATTTTGCCAAATGCCTGCCTTGCCTCTGCCATGCCCAGGGCATCTATTTTCAGGTGGTGACACCTATTATTTTAATTTTATTATTATTAATTTATTTATAAAAATTGTTTTATCAATATATTTGTTTGTATTTTTGTTTTGTATATCTTTACTTAAAAGATAATATATTAGAAATAAGTATATTAATTGTAAATTTAATTAACAAGCTAAAAAACAGTAAATTAAATTATTTTTATAAATACAGTTGCTTTTTAGCAATTTAAATTGGCAGGCAAATAAAATAGATGCCCAAAATGCCAGGCATTTATGGCATCTATTTGGGCATTGCCAGGGCAGGCATTTATTTCCTTAAAACCCTGGTGGCAACACATTAGAATATTGACCGAATTGGGTCAACTGGGCTACTATAGTGCCCTATCCGATGAATCCGATTGTCTATGTATACACTATTCAATGGACGATAGTAACCAGTTTGATGATCAGGGTATTCCAAATAATGGTTATACAGAAATAGCTAGAGAGGAATCGGGTCACGATTATCGTGATTGGTATACTGCTAGTTATGATACTGCTAATGATAATAGACCCAGATGCTCCCATTGTGGATCACCTAAACACAAGTATCCTGGTTGTCCACATATATATGGCTTGAGCATGGTAAATGTACCCGGTGTCAACTGTATGGCAATTGTTGTCAAAATAATTGTCAAAAATGTCGGGACATATGGGACCAGGAGGAGATAGCAAACACAGAATCGTCGGACGATTATTATTATTATTATTGAATTGTTTTTTCCCGTAAATTTTCCCGTAAATGATTTACTCGTCTATTCTATTGTTTTTAATCTATTGATAAAAATGTCTTTTTGTTTGTTTGTTTGTTTTATTAATTAAATTGAATTGAAAAATTAATTAAATAAATTAATTAACTTATAACTAAATTAATAATTATTTTTTTTTTTGCGATTAGATAGTAATGTAATGTTTCTATAAGTGAATAATTGATAATAAAATTATATTAATTATAATTTTTTTTTTAAAAAAAAAGATAAAACAATTTTTAACATTTGTTTTATTATTAGATATACTATATATATATATAATTAAGTGTTATTTATTTTTTAAAGTTAAAAAGAGCGCGCATGTGTAGTTTTTAAAAAATAATTTTTATTTTTTTTAAAGTATCTAATACGTGTCAAGTTATTTTTCAAATAACAAAATTTTTTTATAACTATTTAATTTTTCATAATTAGCTAGCTAATAATAATTTAGTACTCAAAAAAAATTGTTTGTGTGCTTATTGTTTTTTTTTAAAAAAGTAAAAAAAAAATAATTATATATTTTTTAATTATAAATAATAATAATAATTATTATTATTAGCATAATCATGACTACTACTACTACTACTACTACTACTACTGTTTATTGGAAACGTTACGTTACCGGACCTCCGGATAGACCCCGACCTAAATTGGGTGACCATAAACGGGTCTATTTTATTAGACCCGAAAACCTAACCGACCTAACTATCCCGGATCCTATGAAACTATTATGGAAACATATTAAAGTGTTGACCGAATTGGGTCAACTGGGCTACTATAGTGCCCTATCTAATAATCGGGATTGTATTTGTATACACTATTCCCAGGATGATAGTAACCAATTTGATGACCAGGGTATTCCGAATAATGGTTATACAGAAATGACTAGAGATGAGTCGGCGGGTCACGATTATCGTGATTGGGATACTGGTGCTAGTGATACTGTCGATAAAAGACCCAGATGCCCTCAATGTCTATCACTTAAACATGATTACCGCGGTTGTACCGATCTATGGCTTAGCCATGGCAAATGTATACAATGTAAGTGCCAATGGTATGGCCATTGTTGTAATTTAGATAATAATTGTCAACAATGTCGGTACTTATGGGTGGTCGAGGTCAAGGAGGTGGTCGACGAGGACAAGGAGGTGGTCGACGAGGACAAGGATGAGGAGGACGAGGAGGCGGACACAGAATCGTCGGACAATTGATGATTAAATTGATTGATCCGTGAATTGATTGACTCGTCTAATATGATAATTGAAGAAACAATATATTGTCAAACAATATATATAAATTTATAAAAAATATTTTTTTTTATAAATAACTTTTTTTTATCATTTAAAAAACAAGCCATAAAACAATTAGTCTATTATTATTAATACAGAAATTATAATAATCTATTTAAAATAAATTTTCATATTTTCATAATTTCTATATATATATATATATATAATTAAAATAAATAACATTTTTTATCATTATTAAAGATAACTATATTAAAATTGTTGTTAAAATAATTTTATTAATATCAACAACAACAAAAATTATTTGTTGAAAAACTATATAACGTAATTATAATATAATAAAATTAAAATAATAATTAATATAAAATTAATTTCATTATACAGCAAAAAAATAAAAATAAATATTACACACAATTTTTAACATATAAAAAATAAATATCACATTTAATTATATATATATACAGTATATATATATATTTAAAAAAAAATAAAATAAAACTTAACTAGCTTAAAAAACTTTTTTTGTTTGTTTGTTAAAAAAAACAAAACTAAAAAATATATTACAAAACTTTTTTTTTTAATAAAACTATTTTTTTTTAAACAATTCAATTGACAATACCTTTACATATTATCATTCAATCCTCCCGTTAGTTTGGGAGCCATCTGACGACACTACTATCAAGTGTTAGTTTGTCTATTGAACGCTACAAACAAACAAACAAACAAAACAAATACAGTCTCTTAACTTATTTTATTTTATTTAATTTTTTTTTTGTATGTAAAATACTGTACATTAATAATCACATATATTTAACTACACATACTGTACTACACATACGGGTGCTATACATATACATACTATACATACACACATACTGTACAATACATACACACACATACTGTACTACACATACGGTGCTATACATACATATATTGTAATATATATACTGTATAATACATACATACTGTACTACACATACGGTGCTATACATACATATATTGTACTATACATACTGTATAATACATACATACTGTACTACACATACGGTGCTATACATAAACATACTGTACTACACATACTGTACAATACATACATACATACTGTACTACACATACAGTGCTATACACATACAGTGCTATACATACACATACTATACATACACATGCTATACATACACATACTGTACTACACATACTGTACAATACATACATACATACTGTACTACACATACAGTGCTATACACATACAGTGCTATACATACACATACTATACATACACATGCTATACATACACATACTATACATAAACATACTGTACAATACATACACACACATACTCTACCAAAACATACAGTGCTATACATTTAATATTCAATAATGTAATTATACAGTATTTTACAGTATTGTTGTGTATTAATAATAATAGTAATACTAATACTATACTGTAGTAGTAATACTGTATGTATAATGCATTACAACTACAGTACTTTTTTTTATACATACATATAGTGTAAAAGTCAATTGTAATTAAAAAAAAATTAAATAAAAATTATTTAAATAACTAAATCAATCAATCAATTGGTGATTGCATTTGAAGAAAAAAAAGTGTTGATTATCACGGGTTGATCCCAACAATTGTGGACCAATTGATAGACGACTACTGGGATTAAAATAAAAACATATCGCGCGGCGTCCCTGAGATTTACCACCACTTGTTTTACTATACAAACTATCTATAGATAGATAGATAGGCCAGTCCTAGACACACACACACACCCGACAGTGGTCATCGGTATATCAGGACTTAACTGTCCCGACACACAAGTTGGTGGTCATCATCAACAACAACAATGACTTCGAGGAATGGCTTTAAGCGCAAAGTCTGCTACTATTATGACGGTATGTGTGTATTGTCGACTAACTTTCGGGTCGGCCGGAAAAAAAAACAGTGACCAAAAAAATGACCATTTTTTTCTATTTTATTGTTTAGCCGAAATCGGTAACTTCTACTACGGCAAGAAACACCCGATGAAACCGCATCGGATACGTATGACCCACGAACTGGTACTTATGTACGGCTTGTATCGCAAAATGGAAGTCTATGTAAGTAGTAGTGTTTATCTCGGCCCCCACCCCTCCCCCCCGTCACCCCGCGATGATGGCCATCACATCCGATGGTCACACACACATACCAATCGATAGCACACACAATAATAGACTATTGATTGATGATACCCCCTCCATTCCCCCTTCCCCCCCCATTGTTTATCTATGCTATCGGAAGGTCAAGGCCAACGGATCTCTTTTCTACCCTACCCCTCCCGCTCCCCCCCCGCGATGACCATCACACCCGATGGTCACATATACCTATCAATAGATAGCACACACAATAATAGACTATTGATTTGTGATACCCCCCTCTCTCCCCCTTCCCCCCATTGTTTATCTATGCCATCGGAAGGTCAAGGCCAACATATCTATACCCTATACCCACCCCCCTTCCGCCCCCCGATATGGACGGGGGAACTATTGATTGATTAAAATTATGGTTAAAAAGCCATTGTGTTTAATACACAGTAGTAGTAGTAGTAGTAGTAGTAGTAGTAGTATTAGACTAAATAAATGAGACATTTTTTCAATCACATAATTCAATGATAATTATCAAATTAATTGGTATTTATTGGTAATAATTAACTTTTTTTTATTTATGTCTTATTTAAATGGATTTGTTTGTCCATCACATCCAACAACGACAACAACAGAGACCACACAAAGCCAATGAAGAAGAGATGTCACGCTTTCATTCATCTGAATATATCCGTACACTTCGTAGTCTAGAACCGGATAATATGCATAACTTCGGACCTCAAATCAATTCATGTAAATATCGGCTGAAAATATTACCGATTATTACCGATAATAATTGAAATTTATTTATTTTCCGATTTTAACGGTAGTCTTGGCCGGCGAAGACTGTCCAATATTTAACGGTATGTACGAGTTTTGCCAGATATCGGCTGGCGGTTCCATTTCGGGTGCCATCAAACTGAATAAAAAGGCTACCGATATTGCCATCAATTGGGCCGGCGGTCTACATCACGCCAAAAAAGCCGAGGCCAGCGGCTTTTGCTATGTCAACGATATTGTATTAGGCATTATCGAGTTACTTAAATATCACCAGCGAGTCCTCTACATTGATATAGATGTCCATCACGGCGATGGTGTCGAGGAAGGTATGGGAAATGATATGTACAGTAGTAGTAGTAGTAGTAGTGTCTTATTATCGGTTAAATTGGTTATTAATTGTTTTATTTGTTTTATTTGATTACAACAAAAAGCGTTTTACATTACCGACCGAGTTATGACCGTTTCGTTTCATAAATTCGGTAAAAACTTTTTCCCCGAAACTGGTGACCTGAAAGATATTGGCGCCGAACGGGGCAAACACTATGCGATTAATGTACCGCTCAATGACGGCATCGATGATCTATCATTTGAAAGTATCTTTCAACCGGTCGTTTCGAAAGTATAGATGAAATTTTTGTTGTTGTTGTTGTTGACCGATAATTACCGATTAATTTACCGATTAAATTGTCCTCTCTTTTAAAAAGGTAATCGAAACCTATAGGCCAAACGTAATTGTACTGCAATGCGGTGCCGACTCCCTGACCGGCGATCGTTTAGGTGTTTTCAATTTGACACTCAAAGGTCACGGCAAGTGCCTGGAGTTTGTCAAAGGTTTCGACATACCGTTGCTGATATTGGGCGGCGGCGGCTATACTAAGAAAAATGTGGCCCGTTGTTGGACATACGAGACGGCCATTGCACTCAATACCGATTTACCTAACGGTTTGTTACTTTAATTGTTTGTTAGGGTAGAGTTTTTTTTATTAACCGGTAATTAACCACAAAAAAAATCCAAATTAATTGATCCAATGTATTGATTTCCTTCCTTCCCGTCCAAAATTATTACCCGTACGGTCCGGTAATCATTCATCATTAGATTTGCCACAAAACGACTACTTTGAGTATTACGCGCCTGACTTTAAACTACATATAAGTCCGTCCAATGCATTCAATCAGAATCCATATCAGAATTTAGAAAAAATTAAGTAATTAATTAAAAATTTTAATTAAAATTTAGACTAAAATTTACCGATAATTATGTTTTTTTTCTCCCCCAATAAAGAGCGACAATCTTTGAAAATCTACGATCAATACCTCACGCGCCGTCCGTCCAGATGCGAGACATTCCCAACAATTTTACGCTCATTAAACACGACAACGACGACGACAGCGATATAGACATGGATGACGACGATGGCGGTGATGATCCAGAAGTTAGGATCAGTCAACAGAGATCTGATCGACATATACTGCCCGATAATGAACTATCGGATAGTGAAGATGAAGGCGACGGTAGACGAGATGATAGCTGTCATCTGATCAGTCAACCGACTCAACCAAAGAAGCCAAAAGTCGAACAGCAGCCAATGGTTGTGGTGGCCACCAATGCCGGCGCCGCCACCGCTGCCGATGACTTATCTCAGTCTCCATCATCTACTACTACAACTAATCCACTATCATCTGCTTTAATGCACACAACGACTTCATCGTCGTCGTCATCGTCATCATCAACGACATCCTCCTCTACCACCACTACCACTACTAACGGTTTAGCCGTTAATCTAACCTCACCGGAGGCGGCGACCAACGTTTGATTATTATTATTATTATTATTAATATATTAATTGATTTTTTTTAATAAATATTAGTATATACTGTATATTGAATTTAAATGATAATTATTTTATTTTTTTTTTTATAACAAAAAAGTAGTTATTAAAAAAACTATCGATATATTTGATATACAAATACATTATTAACAGTAAATAATTTATATACAGACTATTATTTATTATTATTATTATTAACTGAATTTATTATTATTATTATTAACTTTTTTTTTAAAAAAAAAATTCATTTATATTTATTTTATTATTGCATTATTACCGATAATTTTTTTTTGTGTCATTTACCGTAAAACCTATTTGTAATATACCCGATAATAATACTGTTTGTATACCGTATATATACCATTACAGTATATATATACTGTATATCAAATATATATTTAATTTCAATTATAATTTTTTGAATTTATATATTTAAATTTGACAAAACAAAACAAAACAATAATTATTATATATTTTTTTAAAAAACTATAAATTTGATAATTTTTTTTTAATAATAATAATTATTAATTATTAAACAAACAAACATTTTGTACTTTTTTTTCATATACATATACAGTAGTACAACAAAAACATTGCCTGATGAAATAATAAACTATTGTTAAAATTAATTTTTTTTTTAAAAAAAGACAATATTTTTATATACTGTATATATATATATATATATATATGAGAAAACAAAAAAACATTTTATAAAAAAAAACTTCAATTTTCATATAAATTACATAACTTTGTATAATAATAAAAAAAACTCATTATTATTATTATCATAATTTTTTTTGGATGAATTTGATTTTTTTTGATTTTTTGAAATTAAATACATGAAAAACAACAAAACAAAAACAAAATGAATAATAATAATAATAATAACGATAATTATTAATCTAAACCTAAAAAGATAATTATTCTTCTAATGAAATGTTTTCATGTCTTCCTCTAACCAATGATGACAGCGTTACCTCCGATATGATAAACTCAAATGAGCTCCACTTTTGTTGCGACATCTAATTAATTACCGGTAATTACCGGTAAAAAAGACAAAAAAAAATCAAATCAATTGATCCCACAAAGTGTTTGTTTCCCACAACAAAAATATAATATAATTACCGTTTTTGATTGTTCGGTAAACTTGGACTTATTGAAGGCAACCGTACCATCGGTAACACTCAGGCCATAGTATTGGCATAACTGATATAAATATTTATCAGCTTTTTGTGCGTTAGTCTCAAATGGACACAACCAATGGCGTAGTGTTTCGATCGGGAACTGTGTATTCGGTGAACTATAGCCAACCGATAGTACTTTGATGGCCATTGCGTGCAATTTCGGTAGACTTATCGATGCTAATAGTGAAATGATTGGCGGTTTTAATGTTATCAACGATTGGATGATTGGATAGAAAAACTTTTTCTTATAGTTGACTACTATATGAAATGCAGTCAATACTAGTCGATGTTTTTTCAGTTCCGCCGGTAGTGTACCGTAACGGCTCAGGGCGTCATCCGAGTCCATATTATATAACAGATATATGGTCTCAAATAGTGGCCGATTTCGGGCATCGGACACGTCTACGAGCCGATCGTATCGTTTGAGTAGCGATTGAAGACATTCGCGTAGATGAGTATCATTGATATGTCTGTCGTATAGTCGAACTTCTTCGTCGCCAAAGCTGTTCCGATAAATCAAATCAAAAAACAATTAATTATTTAGTGATAATTAAGACCAACAATTGGTGGTAACAACAACTTCCTCATCGGGTAATCACTAACTAGTAATCAGAGTATATATGAAAGCGAACGCATTGTTCTAATACTGTCAGACAGAGTATGTCTTCTGATTGTTGAATAGACATGTCTTGACGTACGGCTCGGAGTCTGTCGAAGACATAGTCGTAAACAAGATTCCAGTTAACAGTTTCAATGGATATTACTCTGGAGGAAGAAAAAAGAAGACAAATATGATTAATCAATCAATTAATTAATTAAAACAATAAATAAATAAATAATTGATCCAATACTTTGACAGTAGATAATCGCACGTTTTGACCAACACTTTGATTGGCCGCAATTCGGCCGGCGATTGCATCGGCTGTCCAGCACTGGATCGACTAAACTGTTTGACAATCTTTCGTTTGTCGGCTTTTGGTCGGAAACTGTTCGGTAAAACAAAACAAAAACAAACACCAATTAGCTTAACCAACCAATCATTGGCCCGCAAATGGTCACAATGACCACTAGTGGACACACACATTGGACATACCTTTGTTTTTCCCGATTAGTTTTCTCCCGATAGGCTATAATCTCCGATTCTTTGGTCATTTCAAACTCGTGTAATAGGCCTTTATCTTCACGCCTGCAGACAATCAAACAATCGGTTAATTATACGGTAAACTATATACCCGACAGTTGGTGTACGGGACATACCATTTGATCTCATTTGGCGGACACATATCCATACAGAGGCCGACTATCGGCTTCATAGCCGCAGATTTTTTGTTGCAGCGGCCGTTCATCATCGGTAACTACCGCGGATCAATCAATTGGACAACTAATTACACACCATATATATCACGTACAACAATAGTCCCGATAATAACCGGATACCCGATTCATATACACACTAAATAGTAATACAATTTTAATTAATTAATTAAAACATTAATTAATACTATATTTGTTAAGTAATTACGGTTTACGTAATATTTTACTGTTTAATATAAAAGTAATAAACATTAAACACATATAAATAACGTTTCAAATAAATAAATAACATTTTTTTTTTGTTTTAAATAAAATAATAATTCAATCAATTGAGAAAAAAAATAGCGCTAGAGATCCTCATTTTAGTATTATGGGTAATACTAGAGGTCCTGTACTACTACTTGACATTAGTTTACATTTGATATCTATGGTAACTAAATATTTGGTCAACTTTTTTGACACTACTCTTAAATTACGTTATCATATTTATTGCTTACACAATAGCTTAATAGCAATAAATATGATAACGTAATTTAAGAGTAGTGTCAAAAAAGTTGACCAAATATTTAGTTACCATAGATATCAAATGTAAACTAATGTCAAGTAGTAGTACAGGACCTCTAGTATTACCCATAATACTAAAATGAGGATCTCTAGCGCTATTTTTTTTCTCAATTGATTGAATTATTATTTTAATCATAAAATACTTTTTTTAAAAACTTTATTGATTATTATTTTATATTTTTTAAATTTAAATAAATAAATAATAATTTAATTTATAATTAATTATTCTATAATAAGAAAAATTATTAAATTATTTTCTAATAAATCATAACTTATTATTTTGTTTTTGTTTTAATTTTTATTAATAGAATCTAATATTAAATATATAAAACATTTTTTAATGGGACGTTATTTATGTCTATTATCACCCATTGATAGTAATATCAATAACCCATAGAAAACCTCGTGTTTTGATTTTATTGTAATATTTTTTTTGTTTGTTTTTTAAGTATTATTGCCGACAATCGGGTAAATAATTACCGGTTATTACTTGACGGACACACACACCGAAAACCCGGCGCATAAAATATGGCATTAAATACGGTAAGAGAGTTGTCAACACTTCTGGCCAACAATTGGTCTCAATTACTGACCCGAAATATGTTTGTTTTATCCGCGGATAAATAGTTGACCAAAATTCCCGAAACTCGTGACCTGACCCGTATTGAACGTATTGGTGCCCATTCGCACATCCGCGGACTGGGTGTCGATGAACTACTGCAGCCGAAAGAAGTTGCCGAAGGTATGGTCGGCCAGATGACTGCTCGACGATCGGCAGCGATCGTAACCCGAATGATCAAAGAGGGTAAGATTGCCGGCCGTGCGGTACTGATTGCTGGCCAACCCGGTACTGGAAAGACAGCCATAGCAATGGGCATATCCAAGGCTATAGCTAGGGATACACCGTTTGTGGCCATTTCGGGATCGGAAATATTTTCGTTGGAAATGTCCAAATCCGAGGCACTGATGCAGGCCTTCCGTAAGGCCATATGTGTCCGCATTAAAGAGGAAACCGAGATAATCGAGGGCGAAGTGGTCGAAATACAAGTAGACCGGCCGGCGGCCACTACGGCTGCGGCTGCAACGGCCAATAAAGTCGGCAAATTGATTATCAAGACAACCGAAATGGAAACCGTTTACGATTTGGGACAGAAAATGATCGAAAGCCTGACCAAAGAAAAGGTTACCGCCGGCGATATCATTACCATCGATAAGGCTACGGGAAAGATCACCAAATTGGGTCGCAGTTTTACCCGGGCCCGCGATTACGATGCTATGGGACCGCAAACCAAGTTTGTCCAGTGTCCGGACGGTGAACTACAGAAGCGTAAAGAAGTCCAACATTTGGTTACTTTACACGAAATCGATGTCATTAACTCCCGAACTCAAGGATTTCTGGCCTTGTTTTCCGGAGATACGGGCGAAATCAAAGCCGAAGTCAGGGAACAAATCAATGCCAAAGTTAGCGAATGGAAAGAAGAAGGCAAAGCGGATATAGTTCCCGGCGTACTGTTTGTCGATGAGGTACACATGTTGGACATCGAGTGTTTTTCGTTTATCAATCGGGCCATTGAATCCGAGTTTGCACCCATACTGATAATGGCCACCAATCGCGGTATAACACGAATACGTGGTACGAATTACCGATCACCGCACGGCATACCCATCGATATGTTAGACCGATTGGTAATTATATCGACACAACCGTACAGTGAAAAAGAGATCAAAGAGATACTGAAGATCAGGTGTTCGGAGGAAGACGTCGATATGTCCGATGAAGCTATGGTTGTACTGACAAAGATTGCGACCTCCAGTTCCTTGAGATATGCACTCCAGTTGATAACCACTGGTCATTTGGTAGCATTGAAACGCCGTTCAACACAGGTTACCACCGATGATATCAAACGAGTCTATTCGCTGTTTCTGGACGAACGCCGTAGCGAAGAATTTCTCAAACAATATGAACAACAGTTTATGTTTCACGATATGATGACCAACGGTATGGAGGCTAACGGTTCCTACGGTAGTACAGCCGACAAGACAGTAGACAACACTACTACCACCGCAAACGCCAACAACAACAACAAGACATCACTGGAATCGATGGAAACTTCATAAAAAACATTTAGATCAAGAAAATCATTGATTTCATTGAATAACAATAACAACAAAAAAACTATAATTTTTTTGTTTTGTTTTATAACTTTCATCTCATAATTATTATTATTATTATCGATAGTATACTGTATATTGATATTGTATTGCATATAATAATAATAACTATATATATATATATTTTTTTGATCATTAAATTAATTATTTTTGATTATTATATTTTTCTCTCTAAAAAATTTTATTATTATTAATTTTTATTGTAATCAATATACGTCTAAATTAGACAAACAAACAAAAAATATAATAATAATATTAATTAATTTATATGTAATAAAAAAACTTATTTTTAATTTACAGATGAAATCTGTTTTATTTCTTTTTTTTATTTTTTTTTTATTTCTTTTTTTAATTTCTTTTTTAATTTCTTTTTTTTTTTTTTTTTGATTAATTAATTAATACATAATGTGATATAAATATTATAATAATAATATAGTTAAATATATATAAAAATATGGGTGTCCTATAGTATATGTCCCCAATTGTTGTATAATATTATTATAATTAATACCCTAAACTAAATTAAATTTAAATACAGTAGAAATAACTATTGATATATATATATATAGATACAACAATGAGGGGGTGTATACTATAGAATACCCAAAAAAATATAATAATAATAATAATTGTATAAAATAACTATAAAAAATTTTTGATTATATATTCAGTTAACTGTATATAATTAAATACAGTATATATATATATATATATTGATTATTACTTTAATTTAAAAAAAAAATCTATTATTTATTTAATTTATTTATTTTAACGGTTCATATAATTGTTGCCAAAGTTTACGCAACTGATGGCGTAATTGTGATTTTCGGTTCAATCGCCGATGCAATTGCCGTATAAGTGTATCGATGGCCAACCCATGGCCGACAGGTATATACCATTGACGGCCATTAGTGGGATAACGGCCAAACAAATCGTGTAATATTTGACGAATTTGTTGGACAGATGCCGACATATCCCGATATTCAACCGATTGACGATTGATTCGGATATTTAGGTCAAGTCGGATGTCCGATGCCTTAAACGGATAACACAGTTGGCTATTGATATCTATGCTATCGGCGACCGGATTATAGCCATAGAACAGGTATAAGCGATCGGCCGGTTGGGTATCGACGACGGCAGCGACCAATGATGGGTCCGTATGAAAATAGTTGTCATTACGGAACGGTTGCCGACACCGCGGACAATCGTTCGGTGCCGTAATCAATGGACTCGTAATGGCCATAATTACGCAACGGTAATGCAGGCCCGGTGTTTGGCGGCAATCGCACGCCTTGATTATGGGATTGTTGACCAAATCGGTGGCCACTTGTTTGCATCGGAGACATACGTCTGGACGATTGTCGTCGTCCAAGTTATTAACCGCAACAGCGGTTGCGGTCAATGTCTCAATCATCACTGCGGGCTCTTCATTGTCCACGTCATCGATCAGTTCAGCCGCAGCCGCCGTCGGTACGGTAATTATTGGCCAACCAGTGGCCGACAAATCAGCAAACAATTGATCCTCGTATTCATCCAAATCATCAATCAATTGTCTGGTGGCCATCAACTGGTCATTCACTAGCAAATCCAGTTCGTCATTACCGTCCGGGCGGCCATCACTTGCCGCCGGATGCCGATAATTGTTGATCAATTGGTCAGTTTCGTTGGCCATTATTATTATTATCGGGCAGTTATCGGTTAGTTGTGCTTTAAATTTCCTTAAATTTTTTTTTATATATATATAATGACCACAAAAAAAACTTTTTAAAAACTTTTTCAATACTAAGAAAAAAGTTTTTTTTCAAAGTTTCTATGGATTTGTTTTATTAGTAATAGAGAGTCAGTCAACCAATGCTTAAGTATACCAATGCTTATGTATACCAAATGCTTAGGTATATCAATGCGCTTATGTATATATATCAAGGCTTATGTATGTTTTAGTTTGTGTGTTTAGTTTAGTTGTGTACTGATTGACTGCTTTCAAGTGAATGATTAGGTTTACGAGTCTAGACATCGCCTTTTATAGACAACCGGAGTGTGTGTATTGCGTTATCATTAAATATATGTAGAGTTTGAGACAACTTTGGGAAAAAATATGGGGAAACAAAGTTCCCTATTAATAAATTCCCTAAAATTTTTACCAAAGGGAAATAAATAATATTTTCCATCCCTAGAAAAATCAAAATTTTGAATTAAAATTTAATTTAAGTGATACTATTTAACATTAATGCTTAATTTTTAAAAAATATTGTTAAATATTACATTTGTTATTAAAAAAATTTTATAATAAAACATTATTATTATTATTTAAGAGTTCAATAGTTACTACAGTACTTAAAAATTAAATAATTTAGATAATATTACTTTAAATAAATTTTTAATAAAAAATTATTTATAAAAAAAAAACATTTGACATTTGAACAAATAATTTGTATAACAATTCCCCCAAAATGGAGTATATATATATAGAAAATAAAATAAGGGATATGCGAACCCTAAATAATAATAATAATGTTGATGTAATACAATAGTATTTTTCTCAATATGTTAACAACAATTACGTCAATATAGATATGATGGGGGGAGGGGTAGAGATAGGGGGGGGGGTAATACTAATGTTTTAATACATAACATAATTATATTATATTTTTTATAAATCAATTTTATTTACGTATAATAAATTACACGTATATTATGTTTTAATTAAATAATAAAAATAGTATAATAATTAAGCGCCCAAAAAATTAGTTGTTAGTACAAAATGTTTAGATATTTTTGTAGAAACTATTATATACACAAAGCGCTCAAAAAGTCTACACAAAAAAATTGTTTTTTTTAGTGTCAATTGCATTGTATTATACGGTATAATTAGGGTTAGATTAGATACCCTCCCTCGTCTTATATTCCATAAGATCCTTATATTCCCTGTTCCCTGGGAAGACATATCCTTGTGGTATCACCTATCGTACCCTAACTCACATTACATAATGTTTAATTAAAAACACGTTTGTATAGTAAATGTCTACAAAATGTATTTAATGTTTTTACTAAATGTTTAATAATATTTGAATCATATTTTGTTTGAGTTATTACTAACATATTGGTCCCAATTGAAACACATAGTCATTGAGATTATGTACTTTTTAATGTATGACAAATTATATTTTCCCTTTCTAACGATCAAGGGAGGGAATATAATATATTTTCCATATTTTCCGGGAAAATTGGAGGGATTTTATTTGGGAACTTCCCTCCCTGGGAATCTCAATCTAACCCTAGGTATAATATAATATCACATTTAATGTAATATATAGTGATATACAGACTGTATATGTTTAGTACTAATTTAGTATTTATTAAACATCTATTTTTTATTTTATTTATTATTTATTTATTTTTAATTTATTTATTAATTTTATTTTATTTAATCATTGACTGTTGAATTGACTGAACCAGTAGTAGTAGTAGTAATAGTTTGGGATCAAATCAAGTGATAGTTTTGATGGTAGAGAGAGAGAGAGAGAGAGAGAGAGAGAGAGAGAGAGAGATCAACAAACAAAACTAAATTCAATTGATTGGTATGTATTTATAAACCTAATTATTATTATTATTACAATCATTATAATCACACACAACTGATAATTAAAATTAAATACTTTAAACATTAGTAAAAATGATTGTCAACCACAACAACGACAACCACAAAGACATCCAAAAAGACAACAACAAAATGTCAAACAAATTGTTTATATTGATTACCGTCGTCGTCATCGGGCTATTGACCACAACTAGCTATCTGTGGCTAAATATTTTCGGTCTAAATATTTCTACGGTAATAACTACCGACTATAATAACAATGGCCACAACCGTTTGGCGGCGGCTAACCAAACAACACTAGTCGACGCCATCGCCAACACCACCACTGCTACCGGTGTTTCGCAAAACATTTCTACCACTACTAGTCGTACAGATATTGCGGACACTGGTCTGAGAGCACCGGTAGATGGTCTGCATCAATGGATCAAACACTTCATCAACAATATCCCTATCGGTAGATACAAACCGAGGCCAACGGGCACCGACAGCAGCAGCACTACCCGTGCGGGTAATAACCAGCCAAAGCTGCCATCACTACCACTGCCGACAACAGTTGTCAACAACAACACTATATCGCAGCCGATAATCAGTCAAAACGGCCGCTTATTACGTAACAATAGCCCGCAAAATACTGGTAGCGAACCGCTGGCCAACTCCGTCGGCAGCAGCGGCGGCGGCGGCGGTGGTGTCGGCGATAATCGCCAACAACAACAAGAAACTGTGGGTTCCAATGATGATAGCCTACAGCCGATTGGAATCACCAGAGAGAAGGAGGAATGGGATCAATGGTTGCAACCATCGAAAGGCGAACCAAAACCCACAATCAATGACCCTATCGTTGATAATCAATTGACAACACCATTGCCTGTATTTCCATCAAGCAGAGGTGAGCCAAAGTCAAAACATTTATAAGTGATAAATGGCGGGGAGGGAGGGGTGGGCGCACAATGGGATTGGGACCACTACCACTACCATCACCATATTATATCAATATCCAATAGATCTTAACAAAAAAAACATTATCGAATTACAAATACAACCAAGTTAACATACAATATATATAACTAGAAACTAAAAAAAATCTAAATCATCTAGAGCAAACAATTAATTAATTTTAGTTTTTAATTTATATGTGATGATGATAGCTTAATTGATGATAGCTAGGTTAGTTTATTAAATAGTTTAGCTAGGTTAAGTTTGATTAGATAGTTTAGCTAGGTTAAGTTTATTATGATAGTTTAGCTATGTTAAGTTTGATTAGATAGTTTAGCTATGTTAAGTTTGATTAGATAGTTTAGCTATGTTAAGTTTGATTAGATAGTTTAGCTATGTTAAGTTTGATTAGATAGTTTAGCTATGTTAAGTTTATTATGATAGTTTAGCTAGTGATATACTAAAAAGTCAAGTATTTTTTTATATATATATAATATTGTATACAAACATACAATACTTAAATATTAACTTAAATTTTTATCATGTTTTTTTGAAATTTTTTTTTCAAAAAAAAAAAACAGTATTATATATTGATTCACTACAATTTTATTATTATTTAATTTGGTTTTAATTATTATTAGTATTATTACTGTATTTTTTTTAATAAATATTATTAATAATTAATATACTTTATATATACTCATATAAATGATTGAAAATGTTTTTTCCAAATATATTTTTTACTTAAGAAAAATAATATTCCAAATAATCATTTTTATATATATATACTGTATATCATAATTATTTTTAATGTATATATATATTATAATTATTTTTTTTTAAATAATTATCATGATCATAATACTTATTAATTATGATATTATAAATTGACCAAGCTCAAATTACATAAAAATCTAATTTTCTATTATATCTATATATAAAGTATATACTATATTTTATTGTATTAATTAAATTGTATTATAACTATTATTATTTAAAAAAAACTAGTATTACTATTTAACTATGCAATTGATTGAATTATTATATATTGTTTAAAAATTTGATAAAATGTTTATTAAATAGAAACCAAAGTTATTATTATTATTATGTAATTATCGGTAATTGAAAACAAAATAGATTTTTAAATAAAAAAAATGAAATTATTAATGTTATTGAATAAAATTTATTATTAAAGTATTAATCAATTGTATTAAAAATAATTATTTTGATTTATTGTTAATTTACTATAACTTTTATAATCTCATAATTATTTATTTGTTTGTTGAATATTTTCAAAATTGAATTACAGGTAATTATTTTACAATTAAACAAAACATTTAAAACAAATTGATTGAATGAATGAATGAATAATTTAATTCAATTGAAATTTACATATGATATTACAAACATAAAAAACATTACAATCATATCATATAATAATTATTAATACAACAACAAAAATCAATAAAATTAATTACAATATAAAAAAATCAATCAATCAATTAATTAATTGTTACACACATTTTAATGGTCACCCAAAATACTTCCCCCTCTCCCCCATCAGCATCGGTGGTTACCACCACTAATGGTAATGACTATCACCACAACACTAACCACACACTGTCGATGACCACCAATAAGTAGTACCGATATTTTGTCGAATAATTAAAAATTATTACAAACATAAATAATTAATATTACAATCAATCATATCATATAATTATTACAGTATTATTAATACAACAAAAAAATCAAATCAAATTAAATCAATGAAATTAATTACAATCAATCAATTGTTACACACAATGGTTACCACCACTGATGATGATGACTACCAACAACAACACTAACCACTGTCGATGATAATGATGACCACCACTGCTGTCGATGACCGTCGATGACCACCCAATCAGTACCGATATTTAGTCGAATAATCTTTGGGCGATACAACCAAACCGCGGCCTTTTCGGGCCCCCCGATAAACCGTTTCCAATATATCGGTCATTTCCTGTTTGTCCTCCAGTGCCCAATTAATCTTATTGTTATTACCGGTACCCAGGTCAATCATAATGTGTTTGTTGCGGAAAAAAAACATTATCGTACACGGATCGTACAGTTCGTACATTTTATTGAAATCGGGTACTTCGGTAATATCGACCAGATATATGACGGCAAAATTTTTGACCTTTTCGGCGATACCGTATAGGATTTCGTCCATTTTCATACAGGACGGGTCCCAATCGTGTCCGAAACGGATGACCACTACCCGATCTTCCTCCGATAGGATGGCCTGGTCGACTTGCCAGCCGTTTTGTAGATGTTGTAACATATAAGACATGATTATCGATTGGTTAGGTTAGGTTTGTCCACAGTCACCAGTAGCTGATCCCGAGGTTTAACCACTTGTTATAATTGTGTCAATCAATCAATCAGTCAATGTGTTTGTTGTTTACGTTTTTATTATTTTTTTTTGTTGACTATTAATACAGTATATCATTGATGACTATATGTATTAATACTGTACTGTAAAAAAATAACTAAATATTTTTTTTGTTGTTGACATTTTCTGGGCTTAATATATAGTTCATAGTCAACAATAATTTCCAATAGAATGTGTATTTAAATATAATAATAATATACAGTTAAAAAAACTGTTTGATTATATTCAAAACCATAACACTATACTAGCCGCCCACTAACATACTGTAGTAGTGTATGTATTAATATATGCGCGCACAATATTAGTAGTGTTTAATGCTTAAAGGGGCGGAGTTTTTTTTTAATAAAGCATAGATTATATGTTACCATAGTTATTATACACACTATTTAAATTTGTATGTATATATATTAAGTGTAATCTATATGATATATCTATGTGCTTGTGTGTGGTGCGTCTACTATTGTTTTGGTTTTGTATATAATCAAATAGTTTTTATTAATACAGTAGTAGTAGTAGTAGTATATCATTGAATACATATATATGAATACAGTTCTATTGAAATTATTTGTTGACTATAAGCTATACATTAAGCCCAGAAAATATCAACAAAATATTGTATAGTTTAAGACAACATTTAAATTAACAGCACTTTAAACTATTTGACCAACAATTACGTCCAGTATATAACTGTCCCCTATATACACAATACAATTTGATAAGCAATACCTTATAAGTTAATAATATAATAATAAAGTAATCATACAAGTGGTTTGGCGGGGGGGTTGACGTAATTGATGACATATGTTATTATAGGACACAATGTGTGAATAAAAAAAACTTTTTTGCGCCAAAAGTTTATTACTTTTTTTTGTTACAATAGTTTAATAGACTTTTAATAATACATTTCAATACATATATAACAAAAACATTTGGTTTTTTAAAAGTCAAGTCAAACACACCATTGAAGTCAATATTGACTGAAGAAGTTTGGGATCAATTGATTTGATTAACAAATAAAGTGATTAATTAATTAGTTAACCAATCAATCAATCAGTTAAAAGACAAACCAAAGACAATGGCTGTAAGTATTTACATATCTTCAGTACAATTGATTCAATCAATCAATCGTTTCATTCATTTTCATCAACAACTTCTTCCTCCTCTTCATGTCATTCATGTCATAGTCGAGTGACAGTCGACAGTCTGACGATGACATCAACAGCCGTCCACCAGTTTTGTCGCCGCCATCGCCGGGATTACCGTTCGAAGCGGACAACGACGAAATACCCGACGATAATATGCTAATGATGACCGACGACGACGAATCGGTGGCCAGTCCGCCGGCTAGCGATGCTGACCAGGAAAATCGTCGCCCGATTGTTCGCGACGGACGACTCGGTGCTGGCGGCGGTGGTCGTAGAGGCGGTGGCAGCCGTGGAAGGGATGTTCTCGTATCGGACGACGAAAGCGGCGAAGAACTGTTTGGCGATAACTTTGAGATGGATTATAGGCCGCGACCCGAACTGGATGTCTACGAACAGGATATGCTCGACGACGACGCGGGCGTATCGGAGCTATCGCTGGGCGAACGTATTACAGCCGAAGCCGAAATGAGAGCCAGAGATAGAGCCGCCGGTCGGCTGACTGGTCGTATGCGCCGCGGACTGGATGTATACGACGAATCGGAGGACGGCGACGGTTCGGATCGTCCGCACGTTCGTCGGCGACAACAGCGGGCTCAGCAACGACGGGCCGAACTGTTCGGCGAAGGAGAAGCCGAAGAAATGATCGAAAGTATTGAGAATCTGGAGGACACACGGGGTATGACTGTCAGGGAATGGGTAGTACAGATGGCACCGAAACGGGAGATTTATAACCGATTCAAGAACTTTTTGAGGACGTGTACGGATGAAAAAGGTAGGAATGTCTTCAGGGATAAGATCCGGTCGATGAGTGAAGAAAATAAACAAAGTTTCGAAGTGGACTATCATTTGTTGGCCGCTTCGGAACAAGTGTTGGCCTATTTCCTGCCGGACGCACCCATCGAAATGCTAGAAATATTCAACGAAGCGGCCAAAGATGTTGTACTATCGATGTTTCCGATGTACGAACGTATAGCCAAAGAAATATTCATCCGTATCACTGATTTACCATTGATTGAAGACATCCGATCCCTACGACAACTACATCTGAATCAATTGATTCGTACACACGGCGTGATTACATCGACCACTACTGTACTGCCGCAGCTATCGCTTGTCAAATACGATTGCATTAAATGTAAATACATTTTGGGACCGTTTATCCAAAATCAAACCGAAGAAGTCCGTCCCGGTTCGTGTCCTGAATGTCAATCTTCGGGTCCGTTTTCGATTAATATGGAAGAAACTATTTACCAAAACTATCAGCGAATAACTATTCAGGAAAGTCCGGGTAAAATAAGTGCCGGTCGTATACCGCGATCGAAAGATGCCATACTATTGGGTGATCTGTGCGATACCTGTAGACCGGGCGATGAGATTGAACTTACGGGAGTGTATACCAACTCATATGACGGTTCGCTGAATATAGCACACGGTTTCCCAGTATTTTCCACCGTTATTATGGCCAATCATATACTGAAAAAAGATAACTGGTCAGCAATCGGTTCAATACTAACGGACGATGATATTAGTCGTATACTTGAACTATCCAAAGATCATCGGATAGCCGATCGGATATTTGCATCGATGGCACCGTCCATTTATGGCCACAAAAATGTTAAGCGCGCTATTGCCCTGTCGTTGTTTGGCGGCGAAAGTAAAAACCCGGGTAACAAACATCGCCTGAGAGGTGACATCAATGTCCTGCTGTGCGGTGATCCGGGAACTGCTAAATCACAGTTTCTGAAATATATAACCAAAGTTGCATCGCGTGCCGTGTTTACCACCGGCCAGGGAGCCAGCGCTGTCGGTTTGACGGCTTATGTCCAGAAAAGTCCCGTAACACGCGAATGGACTCTTGAAGCCGGTGCTCTTGTTCTGGCCGATCGCGGTATTTGCCTGATTGACGAGTTCGACAAAATGTCCGATAAGGACAGGACATCCATTCACGAAGCTATGGAACAACAGAGTATATCCATATCCAAAGCGGGTATTGTGGCCTCATTGCAGGCCCGATGCGCTGTCATTGCAGCGGCCAATCCCATTGGTGGCCGCTACGACATTGGACTGACATTTTCGCAGAATGTCGACCTAACCGAACCCATTATATCACGTTTCGATATCATATGTGTGGTCAGGGATCAAGTAGATCCCTATGCTGACGAACAATTGGCCAAATTTGTTGTCCGATCGCATATCAAACATCACCCGAACGCTACCGACGACGATATTGCTCAGGTCAGAGATGCCGATACTATGGATGTAATTGAAAAAGAAAATACCAACGAGTCGTCGGGTTTGATGGACGAAATAGACATCGAACCCATACCGCAGGATCTGCTACGGAAGTATCTGGTCTACGCTCGCGAGCGGGTACGGCCAAAGTTGGCCAAATTTGACCAGGATAAAGTATCGAAGTTGTATTCGGAACTACGACGCGAATCACTGTTGACCGGTTCGATACCGATAACTGTCCGACACATCGAAAGTATCATTCGGTGCGCCGAAGCACACGCTCGGATGCATTTGCGCGATACGGTCGGCGACCAAGATGTCAGTGTATCCATTCAGACGGTTCTCGAGAGTTTCATTGATACACAAAAGTATAGTGTTATGAAATCCATGCGAAAGGTTAGTACTGTACTGTCTATCTGTCTGTCCATTGAATGGCTGGAACTAATAGATTGATTTTTTTCTGTCTCTCTCTCACTGTCCAGACATTCGGCCGATACTTTCAGCGATCAAATACCGAACTATTGTTTACAATATTACGTCAGATGGTTCACGAAGAGCTAACACTCCTGAGGAGCCGATCGACTGCCGGTGCCGTTGTCGAGAAGGTCGAGATCAATGAGAAAGATTTTGCCCAAAAGGTATACATCCCATACATTCAAACAAAACACACCCTAAACCTAACCTAACATTGTTTTACTAATTGATTGATTGATTTTTTTCCCGTCCCGTTCCCGCGATATTAGGCCCGACAGCTAGAGATTCAACATTTGCGTGCCTTTTACGACAGCCGAGCCTTTGCACTGCAGAACTATCTGTACGATTCAGTTAACAAAAAAATTATACAAAAATTTTAAATTGAATTTTTTGATAATCACTTTATTTTTTTTAAATGATATTTAATTATTAACTTTTTTTTAATTATTTTAATTAATTAATTGCTATATATATTTTTGTAATTAATTTAATTACTAATTAACTAATCAATCAATGATTTTGTTGTCCAAATCAATCACATTATATCACCAATACTTTGATTACTCAATGATTATACATATCATAATCGACACCAAAAATTAATTAATTAATTGTTTTTATTATTTTTTTTAATAATTGTTTGCATAAAATTTATTAATTAATTACTGTGTATTTAATTATTATTTTTTTAATTTTATAAACAATTTGTTTTTTTTGTGTATACAATACTGTAATTATTAATAAATATCTTTTTTCAATCTCAATTTTTTTTGAAAAATTAATTTACTAGAAATAATATATATATATATTTTATTATACATTTATTATATATTATATTTATTTGATATATAAATATATATACTTTTTTTTTAATTTAATCAAACATCTAAAAAAATATATATATAATTTAATAATTTAATACTTATAAAATATCAATAATGTAATAATAATATGTGTAATAAATATATATATATATATATATATATATATATATATAAATTTGTTGTAAATATGATCCAAAATAATTAAATACCAAATATAATAAAACACAATCTCATATTGTTTTTTGTATAAATTAATAGTAAAAACTTAAATAATTTATATATAATTTTGTTATTTAAAAAAAATAAATAATAAAATAAACTGTTTGTTTAGTTTATAACATATATTGATTAATACATTTTAAAATTAATATTACAATTACATAAATTAATTTGTTTTTACAATGTTTAACATAATTATTATATTAAGTAAATATTTTTTTTTGCTAAAATTTAATATATTTACTCTAAATTAAATTATAGATTATTTTTTATTATTATTATTAATATATTTTAATTTTTATATATAAAAAAGCATTTCTTAATAGTATTTATAATGTTGTTATCGCATCGGATCTACAAATCGGTAACTATCCGCCGGTAACGGATACCAATCAATGCGGTATCGGTCGCCAATCGACTCTAATGTCTGGCCAGTGTTTGCGTTGGTTTGATAGTCGCCAACAATTGCTGCCCGATATTTATAACGGTAGACGGGCCCAATCGGGCGAGTTTCCCTATATTGTCCTAATAGTGGCCTGGGATATTAGTCCCGAAGATAATGAAACTTACTGGCAAAAAGGGTTAGTACTGTTGGCGGTGGTGGGGGTCGGGTCGGAGGGGCTTAATATGGAAAATAAGTATCTAAAAAAAAGTTTAGGTACTATAATGGAGCTGATGTTAACAATTTTTATAGCATTTTTTTTGCATAAATTTGAGTAAATTCCGACTAAATTCCTATTAAATTACAACAAAATTAGAACAAAATTCGCACTGAATTCCTACTAAATTCCCACAAAATTCCCACTAAATTCCCAATAAATTCCCAATAAATTTCCACTAAATTACCACTAAATTCCTACTAAATTCCTACTAAATTCCTATTAAATTCTTAATAAATTCCCAATAAATAAATAAATAGCTATATATATATATATATATACAGTAAATTTATATATATATAATTAATTAGCACCTGTACGGGTAGTATACTCAACGAGCACTGGTTTGTAACGGCCGCCCATTGTTTTGAGTTAGACTGCGAACAACTTGACGACGGTATTTGCATATATACTATACATCCGGGTATTATCGATAGACACGATTTGGGTATGGATTATGGTCTGGAAAATCTGATTATACACGAAAACTATACACTAATGAACCGAACCGTTACAATGGATATTGCATTAGTCAAAGTCAATCAACGAATGAATTTTACGGGAAATATCGTCGGCGGTAATGATGGTCACTATCGACAGTTAAACAGTATTTGTTTGCCGGCAGAGCCTACTATTGATGGCCATATCCGTGACGACGACAACGACCACTACGAGTATGGATTGATGGCTGGTTTTGGTGTTACAGCCGACGGTAATATTGCCGATAGTTTGCAAACGGGTTGGACTCGTATACCACCACTTCAACAACAGCAGTCAGTGGACAGTCAGCTTATTGTCATACCATCACAGTATCCATTTCATGGAGGAACCTATCCATGTTATGTTAGTTTTTTGTTTGTTTGTTTTTTTACATATAATTTAGTAATTTTTTAAACAATTTATTATTAAATATATAATATAAAGTTTATATATTTACTTTTCTATAAACTTATCTAATTTTATCCATGTATGTATATATATGTGTATATATATATATATATACTCTATGTATGTATATGTATGCCTGTAATTATGTGTGTATGTATGTATGTGTGTAAGTGTGTGTGTATGTATGTATGTGTGTGTATGTGTGTGTATATGTGTGTATGTGTGTGTATATGTGTGTGTATGTGTGTGTATGTGTGTGTATATGTGTGTATGTGTGTGTATATGTGTGTATGTGTGTGTATGTGTGAGTATGTGTGTGTATGTATGTATATGTGTGTGTGTGTGTTTGTCTATGTATGTATTTTATAAATAAATAAATAAATATATATATATCATCTAATTATCAATTAGTTTTCAAATATAATAAACAGTAAATATTATACTAAAAATATTTTATTTATTTATTTATTTTTTGTTGTAAAAATAGGGTGATTCTGGCGGTCCATTAGTCCAGTACGTGGACGGTAGGGCTGTCCTAATTGGTATATCAGTATCGGTTTTCGGTAAATTTATTGGCGAAACCTGTCAGACAATCAATGCCAGCGAATCGGTTGGTTTTAAATACATTCGGGTGACTGAAAAACTTGAATGGATTCTAACGGAAATTTTAAATAATTAAATAAAAAAATTGTTTAACATTTTTAATTAAATTTTTATTAATTAATTGATTGAAAAAAATTGATTTATAAAATCTTAATATTTTCCATTAGTAGTAATAGTAGTTTTTTTTAATATATTTAATAGTTATATAGTTAATTATAATACAGTTTTATTAATCATTTAAAATATATATATATTTATAATATTAATAAAATCTAATTAAGTAATCTTTAATTAATTAATTGAAATTATACTTATAATAATGATTAGAAATTTTGATATTAAATAATTCAATATAATTATATTACAATTAAATTATTATTATTATTACTGTAATTAATTGTTTGCATAAAATTTATTAATTAATTACTGTTTAATTAATTTTGTTAAAAAAAAGTTTTTATAGACTATTTTTTTGTTGTTGTATACTATACTATAATTATTAATAAATATTTTTATCAATTTCTATTTTTTTTTGAAAAATTAATTACTAAAAAGAAAATATATATATATTTTGATTATAAATTTATGATATTTGATATTTATTTGATATATAAATACCTTATATATATATATTTTAATTTAAACAAATATTTAAAAAATAATATATATTTAATTATAATTTATAGTGTTTAATAATAATATACATATAAAATATCAATAATGTAATAATAATAGTAAGTGTAATAAATATATATATATATTTTTAAAAATATGATACGAAATAATTAAATATCAGATATTAATAAAACTGAATCGCATTTTTACATTTAAATTAATAATAAAACTTATATATAATTTATATATTTTTTTGAATTTTTAAAAATTAAAAAAATTAACTGTTTGTTTAGTATATAACATATTAATTGATTAATACATTTTTAAAAAATTAATATTGCAATTACTAAAAATTAATTTAATAAAATCTAAAAATAATGTTTATCATAATTATTATATTAAGTAAATATTTTTTATTTAAAATATTTAATAACATTTAAAATTTTTAAAATTAAATTATAAAATAATTTTTTTATTTAAATTTTATTATTTATAAAAACTAGCATTTCTTAATAGTATTTGTAATGTCGTTATCGCATCGGATCTACAAATCGGTAACTATCCTAACCTAACGGATACCACCAATCAGTGCGGTGTCGGTCGTCAATCGACTCTGATGTCTGGCCAGTGTTTGCGTTGGTTTGATAGTAGCCAACAATTGCTGCCCGATATTTATAACGGTAGACGGGCACAATCGGGCGAGTTTCCCTATATTGTCCTAATAGTGGCCTGGGATATTAGTCCCGACGATAATGAAAGTTTCTATCAAAAAGGGTTAGTATCATTTTTTTTACAGTAGGGGAAAGGGGGGGGTATTGAGGGGGCGGGTGGTAGTAAAATATCAACAACAACAAAAAATCATATTTTATTAGTATTTTATTATATATATATTTATTTATTTTATTGGTAATATATTTTACACAATACTAATTAATTTTTTTGAACATAACAACATTTTTTTTCTAAATAATTAATTAAATAGTTAAAAACTAACTAATTATTGTTTATAGTTATAGTTGTTTTTTATTATCTTATATTGTATGAAAATATTTTATGTAAAACTTTTTAAAAATTTTAATATTGGTAAAATTAATATTAGATTTTTTTTAAATGTTAATTTTATGAGTCTTTTAAGTTATATTAAGTTGTGTGAATATTTTTGTCTTTTTTAAGGAAATTTATGTTAGAATTTATGTGAATTTATTATGAATTTATGAAAATTTATTATGATTTTTTGAGAATTTATTAATAATTTATTGGGAATTTTATAAGGAATTTATTTTAAAATATAAGAAAATAATAAATTACAAATAAATCATAAATTAATTCCCAATTTAAATTCCCCTTTAAATTACTAATAAATAAATATATATAAAGTATATATACATAATTTTAGTAAATTCCCACTAAATTCTCACTAAAATACCGCTAAATGTCCACAAAATTTACACAAAATTTCTACTAAATTCTCAATAATTTTCCAGTAAATTCTTAATAAATAATTTTTTTTATATATTATATATATATATATACCTAAAATTGATTGATTGCAGCACCTGTACGGGTAGTATACTCAATGAGCACTGGATAGTAACCGCTGCCCATTGTTTCGAAGTTGTCTGCGACTATGAAAACGGTTGCGCCTATACTATACATCCGGGTATTATCGATAGACACGATTCGGTGGATTTGGATATGGATTACGGTTACGATAATATTATTATACACGAACTATATATGGAAATGAACCGAAGCGATACAGTGGACATTGCATTGGTCAGAGTCAATAGGACAATGAATTTTACGGCCAATATCATCGGCAACGGCGGCGACGGTAACGGTGGTCACTATCGACAGTTGAACAGTATTTGTTTGCCGGCAGCGCCTATTGGTGGACATATTATTGACAACAATGACGACCACTACGAGTATGGATTGATGGCCGGCTTTGGTGTTACACTGGACGGTAGGGTTGCCGATAGTTTGCAAACTGGTTGGACTCGTATACCAACCCGCCATCAGCAGCAACAACTGTCAGCCGAAAGTGATCAGCTTATTATCATACCATCGCAGTATCCATTTCCTGGCGGATCCTATATTTGTTTTGTTAGTTATTGTTTTTATATGAATTTTATAGTGTGTGTGTGTGTATGTGTATGAATGTGTGTGTGTGTGTGTGTATGTATGTGTGTGTATGTGTGTGTATGTATGTGTGTGTATGTATGTGTGTGTATGTATGTGTGTGTGTGTATGTGTATTTGTGTGTATGTATGTGTGTGTATGTGTATAAATGTGTGTGTCTGTATATGTGTATCTGTATGTGTGTCTATGTGTATCTATGTGTGTGTGTGTGTGTGTGTCTGAATATGTGTGTGTCTATGCTTGTATGTATGTATGCTTTGTGTGTATGTGTTGGTATCTGTGTATCTCTATGTTTAGTTTTCAAATATATATTTTATATTACATTAAATAATATACTATAAATATTATTAGTTATTTATTTTTTTTAATTAAAAAAGGGTGATTCTGGCGGTCCATTAGTCCAGTACGTCAACGGTAGGGCTGTCCTAATTGGTATATCAGTATCGGTTTTCGGTAATATACAGGTCCCTGTAACCTGTAGTACAATCAATTCAACCAAACCGGTTGGTTTTAAGTACATACGGGTGACTGAAAAACTAGATTGGATTCTAACGGAAATTTTAGATGAAAAATAAAATTAACATTTAATTAAATTTAATTAATTAAATTAATTGACAAATTAATTAGTGGTGGGGGATGTAAATTAATTTTATAAAATCTATATATTTATTTGCTAATTATTATTAGTTATAATTTTTTTTTATCTAGTTGCTTTTGATACAGTATATTACTAAATATGTTATTTAATCTGATTATTATTATAATTATTATTTTTTTAGTACAATTGTAATTTTATTTGATTTAAATAAAATTAAAACATTTATTTTTAAAAATTTATTATTATAATAAACATATAAAATATCAATAATATGATAGTACTGTAATAAATGTATTTTTTAAAAAAATAATAATAATTTTATTGTAAATATGATCCGAAATAATCAAATATAATACAACAATAATATAATAATAGTAAAACTTTTAATAATTTTTTTTGTAATTTTTTAAAATATACTATTTGTTTAAAATATTTAACTTTACGGTTACTAATGTATTAATTAAATAAAATAGTTTAATGTTAATAATATTAAACTAAAAAACAAAACAAAAATGTTATACATAATTGTTTTATTAAGTAAATATATATTTATTTATATTTAATAAATTATAAATTAATTTTATTTATTTTTTTATGAAAGCATTTTTCATTGTCTGCAATGTTGTCGTTATCTCATCGGATCTACAAATCGGTAATTACCCGAACATAACGGACAGCGGACAGTGCGGTATTGGTCGCCAATCATTGTTGATGGCCGCCGACGATGATGACCACCAGTGTTTCCGTTTGCATAGTAGTCGACGCCAATTGTTACCGGCTATTGTAAACGGTAGACCCGTCCAAACGGGACAGTTTCCATACATTGTCTATATAGCCATTTGGGATATTAATCGATACGATAATTCAAGTCTAAGACAGAAAGCGTTAGTATATTATAATTTATTATTAATTTTCTGAAAAAGTTATAATAATAATAAAAATAATATCTTTTTACACTAAATTCCTACTAAATTCACACTAAATTTTTAAAATTCCCACTAAATTCCTATTAAATTCCAACTAAATTTCCACTAAATTTCTATTAAATTTCTATTAAATTTCTATTAAATTTATACTAAATTCATACTAAATTCTCACTAAATTCCCACTAAATTTCCATTAAATTTCCACTAAATTCCTACTAAATTCCCTATAAAAAGCTCAGTAAATTCCCATTAAATAAATAAATAAATTTTATATATATACCTAATTATTTATAGCACCTGTACGGGTAGTATACTCAATGAACAATGGATAGTAACGGCTGCCCATTGTTTTCGTCAACAATGTTACCGACCGGGTGGTTGTCTTCATAGGATATACCCGGGTATTATCCGACGATCGGAACCGGGTTTGGACTATGGATACAAACAACTAATTATACACGAAAACTATACAACCGATGGTAACTATACGGTGGATATAGTGTTAGTCAAACTGAATCGGTCGATAAATTTTACGGCAAATATTATCGGCGGTGACGACAATAGCGGTCACTATCGACGGTTAAACAGTATATGTTTGCCGGCACCGGCAGCACCTGTAGGTAACCAAACGACAACTAGCCAGCACTGGGAGTATGCAGTAATGGCTGGGTTTGGTGTACTATTGGACGGCAGCGAAACCGATAGTTTACAATCGGGTTGGACTCGTATACCACCACTTGAACAACAGTCAGTGGACAGTCAGCTTATTGTCATACCATCCGAGTATCCATTTCCTGGGGGAACCTATCCATGTTATGTTAGTTTTTTTAAAAAAATATGATATGATATAATAATTTTGTGTATGTACTGTATGTGTATGTGTATGTGTATGTGTATGTGTATGTGTATGTGTATGTGTATGTGTATGTGTATGTGTATGTGTATGTGTATGTGTATGTGTATGTGTATGTGTATGTGTATGTGTATGTGTATGTGTATGTGTATGTGTATGTGTATGTGTATGTGTATGTGTATGTGTATGTGTATGTGTATGTGTATGTGTATGTGTATGTGTATGTGTATGTGTATATGTGTATGTGTATGTGTATGTGTATGTGTATGTGTATGTGTATGTGTATGTGTATGTGTATGTGTATGTGTATGTGTATGTGTATGTGTATGTGTATGTGTATGTGTATGTGTATGTGTATGTGTATGTGTATGTGTATGTGTATGTGTATGTGTATGTGTATGTGTATGTGTATGTGTATGTGTATGTGTATGTGTATGTGTATGTGTATGTGTATGTGTATGTGTATGTGTATGTGTGTGTATGTGTATGTGTATGTGTATGTGTATGTGTATGTGTATGTGTATGTGTATGTGTATGTGTATGTGTATGTGTATGTGTATGTGTATGTGTATGTGTATGTGTATGTGTATGTGTATGTGTATGTGTATGTGTATGTGTATGTGTATGTGTATGTGTATGTGTATGTGTATGTGTATGTGTATGTGTATGTGTATGTGTATGTGTATGTGTATGTGTATGTGTATGTGTATGTGTATGTGTATGTGTATGTGTATGTGTATGTGTATGTGTATGTGTATGTGTATGTGTATGTGTATGTGTATGTGTATGTGTATGTGTATGTGTATGTGTATGTGTATGTGTATGTGTATGTGTATGTGTATGTGTATGTGTATGTGTATGTGTATGTGTATGTGTATGTGTATGTGTATGTGTATGTGTATGTGTATGTGTATGTGTATGTGTATGTGTATGTGTATGTGTATGTGTATGTGTATGTGTATGTGTATGTGTATGTGTATGTGTATGTGTATGTGTATGTGTATGTGTATGTGTATGTGTATGTGTGTGTATGTGTATGTGTATGTGTATGTGTATGTGTATGTGTATGTGTATGTGTATGTGTATGTGTATGTGTATGTGTATGTGTATGTGTATGTGTATGTGTATGTGTATGTGTATGTGTATGTGTATGTGTATGTGTATGTGTATGTGTATGTGTATGTGTGTATGTGTATGTGTATGTGTATGTGTATGTGTATGTGTATGTGTATGTGTATGTGTATGTGTATGTGTATGTGTATGTGTATGTGTATGTGTATGTGTATGTGTATGTGTATGTGTATGTGTATGTGTATGTGTATGTGTATGTGTATGTGTATGTGTATGTGTATGTGTATGTGTATGTGTATGTGTATGTGTATGTGTATGTGTATGTGTATGTGTATGTGTATGTGTATGTGTATGTGTATGTGTATGTGTATGTGTATGTGTATGTGTATGTGTATGTGTATGTGTATGTGTATGTGTATGTGTATGTGTATGTGTATGTGTATGTGTATGTGTATGTGTATGTGTATGTGTATGTGTATGTGTATGTGTATGTGTATGTGTATGTGTATGTGTGTGTATGTGTATGTGTATGTGTATGTGTATGTGTATGTGTATGTGTATGTGTATGTGTATGTGTATGTGTATGTGTATGTGTATGTGTATGTGTATGTGTATGTGTATGTGTATGTGTATGTGTATGTGTATGTGTATGTGTATGTGTATGTGTATGTGTATGTGTATGTGTATGTGTGTGTATTTCCTGGTGGAACCTATCCATGCTATGTTAGATTTTTTTATGATACAATTATATATACATATTAACTATTTTTTTATATAAAAAGGGTGATTCTGGCGGTCCATTAGTCCAGTATGTCAGGGGTAGGGCTGTCCTAATTGGTTTCATAGTAGCCATTGATAATATAGGTCTAATAGACGGCACCTGTCAGACACTCAACGATGACGAACCCATAGTCATGATGTTTGTCCGGTTGATGGCTAAACTCGATTGGATTCAAACCAATATTTATGGAAATAATTAAAAAAAAATAATTTAATCATTTTATTTGCAAATTATCAACAATAATAAAACAAATGTATTAAATAAATACAAAAAAATTATTAATAATAAATTACCGGTAATTAAATCAATGAAAATAAATAGTAATAAATATTTTTTTTAAATAATAATAAATACAAACAAAAAAATACAATAAATTAAATAAATTGTTGAATCAATCAATGAAACTAATGGATCAATAAAAACATGTAATGATTGACATCAACGACAATAACAACTAATATAAAACTCTTTGTTGTGAATCAAACAGACAGACAGTCTGGCCATCAGTTTGTTTGACTTCTTCTTCTTCTTCTACTTCTTCTACTTCTTCTTAGTCTTCAGTCATATCACTGAAGAGTTTTCAGACATAGTTTGCTCTTCATTTGGACCAAATCGGTGACCACTCGTTGAAAACGATCGTCAAAGTCACGCAACTCGACCAGGACTTTGTCCAACACTTTCAGTCGATCGGTAACCACACGATCGTCGGCATAGTCGCCGATAATCTGCCGATCAATGGCCGGCAACATTAGCCGTAGCCAGTGATGGACGCGTTGGCGGATTTCCTGACAAAACTGTTCGTCGCGTTCACGTTTGGCCATCCATTCGTCGACCAGTTCGGCCATTTCCGACTCAAGTATGTCGCTATCGGTGACCATTGATGGCTCGGTAGCCGCCGCTGCTGCCGATGTTTCGGTCATATTATTATCGGTAATAACAACCACGAAAACGGGTGGACAACAACACAGTCGGTCGACTGGTTCGGCGCGATATATCCTATCCTATCGACAGTCACTTTATCGGGTAATAATCAATTCGGGCCAACAATCGGGTGGACAGTACTTACACTTTAACTAACTATTAGTTAATAATAACTAAATTGTAATCAATTTTTTTAACCGAAAAAAACAAAAACAAATAATTATTAATAAATAAAAACAAAATTTTTTGTTTTGATTAATAGATTCCAAATACGCGGCTCTCTATAACTCTATGTATAGTAATATCCAATTGAACTCATAAAACGGCATAACTATTAAAAACAATTAGTGCTTGAGTTAAGCCCTTTTGTTTACTCTCTCATCATAAGTTTGATATTACTATAAGTGTAATGTAATCCGTATATAACGTTACGATTAAACACTCAAAACTCAAACAAACAATAGTTAACATACAGTATATAAACTATTAATTCAATTAATAATTTACAACAAAAAATCAATTACTAATAAAAAAATTTTACAGCAAAAAAAACTTATTGAAAAACATTTAATAATTATTACAAAAAAAATTTAAAAAAATAATATTTAAATAATAACTTATTATTTTAATACTAAAAAAAAACATTTAAAATATTGACTTTAAATATAAAACTAAAAACCCTTTCAATAGATCGTAACGTTGTTTACTGATTGTTGGTATATAAGTGTTGACGTATTTGTATGTAAACAAAAAAATTGTTGTGTTTTTATTGAGTAATTGTTTTTTGAATAACAAAACAAATATAATTGAAATCATAATTGAATTCAAATTTTTTTATAGTTTTTAGTCAACAAAACAAAAACAAAACAAATGTCTCAAACATTACAACAATCATTGTCTGCGGCCAACACTTCCGCACCGCTAATATCGGCCCAATTGATAGCACCGCCGACAGCTGTAGTCAACAATAATACTGCCGCCGCCGTCGCCGCCAACACAACAGTGGCCACTGCAACCGCGGCCACTGTAGCATCCAATAGCATGCCATTGTTGGTCAACAATGGCGCCGCCGCCGTTGCCGTCCAGTCGATGGCCAACAACAACAACACCAATAAATTACCGAACATTTTAAGCCAACAACTCTTGCAACAGCCGCTCATTCATCATCCGTCGCCCGCAACCGCCGCCACGGCCGCCGCCGCCATCATATCGGTCACACAGCCGTCGACGCCGACGCCAACACTGAATCAATCGCTGAGCAATACAGTAGCCGCGGCTGTGGCCGCCGCTACCAGTGATCTGCCGCCGATGACCACCAAACTCACCAACGGTCCGATGCTTATGGATTCGACTACAACGTCGTCGATGTCGTCACTATCGTCATCATTATCGCCGTCGCCATCATTGTTGACCAACAATATAACGGCGTCGTCGACAGCGGGAGTAATACCACCGTCACAGCCGGCGCCTACACCGACACCGACAACAACAGCAACACCACAGTCGTCGATAGCCATGAAGAATCCGGTGGTCGTATTGGACAAGTGTCGTCTCCAGGAGTTAGTACAAGAAGTCGATCCCAATGAACAACTAGAAGAAGAAGTCGAAGATATGTTGTTGACAATTGCCGACGAATTTATTGAATCGCTGGTCTATACGTCGACATTGTTTGCCAAACATCGGAAGTCGTCGACATTGGATGTCAAAGATGTTCAGTTGGCTCTGGAGAAGAACTGGAAGATGTGGATACCGGGCTTCGGTAGCGATGATATACAACGGCAGACAAAGAAATCGTTTTCGACTGAAGCACACAAACAGCGTATGGCTTTGATTAAGAAGACTATGAAGAAGTTATGAAGAACTCATGGGATGTCATGTCTTCATATGTCATGTTTTTTTTGTATTATTATTATTATTATTTGATTATTAGTAGTATTTTTTTGTGCAAATGATTTACAACAACAACAACAACATAATAATTAGTTAGTGAATGATTAGTAGTACCGGTAGTAAACTAAAACCCAATTGTTTTTTTTTTGACGATTATATATATATTTTTTTGTATTTATCGTAAATTATTATTATTATATTATTAATGACATTAAAAATAATTACCGTATATACTAATTACCGATAATTAATTGATTGATGAAATAACCAAAAAATTTGGTTTTTTACATTTGCTTTATATACAGTACTATTGCTATTATATTTAATTTAATTATATATATATATGCTATTTATATAACTATCAATCAATCAATTAATTAATTACTTTATAACTTTTAAAAAAAAATTATTTAGAAATATCTCTAATTGAGAGATAAATAAACAAAAAAAACATAAAAATTATTTATTAATAATAATTATAATAAATAAAACATTAAATTATTTAATAATAATAACTTTTCAAAAATGGTTGGCCATTTGCAAACAAGCCGTAAAAAATATAGGACACAATTATCGGACATACAATATATGTATATAAAGTATATATACATATATATCGCACCCGACTATGACTGTATCAGTTGGGTTAGGACTTTCCGATAGGTATGTACCGCAAAAAAAATCATTACATATCTGCCAATTGTTTGGCCAATTGCCGAACAGTATCCATATTACCGACAATGTCGACACTCTTTAGTGATATATTGAACGTTAGGACAATATCTTGCGGCAAATCGGTCACTGCATCGGCTCCAGCACTGCCGCCACCGCCGCCGGCGACCACTATCTTGCGATTGTCGACCAGTGTTTGGGCAAAGAATCGGCAAACAGGTCCCAGAGTATCGTCATTTGATCCAAACAGTGTACGTGTAGTAAACAAGTTGGTCTGCGGACTGTACACAACCTGAAGCCAATCCGAGCCAAAGTTCGGTAAATCGGTAACAATCCATAGGTTTAGTTGACCGATATTTACGATCGTAATCTTGGTTTCCGTCGGCTTTTTGTTGTCGTCTAATAAGTGATACACTTTGGTCTTTGTCTGGAAGGAGGACATCCTCTTTGGGATCAATCAATCGGTTAAATGCAATAAAAAAATGTGATTATAATAACTGTTAGAAAAATAATTTAAATGATTATTAAAGTCAATAGTCATTCAAAAAATACAAAACAATGTGTTTGTAATGTAATATTTAAAAATGTTTGTATTTTTATGCCATCTATTGGTTTGTCAACAAAAAAATTGTAAAAAACTTAAAATTTTTAGTTTTTTTAAAGTTATTTTTTTAGTTATTTTCTATCATTTTTTATTATTAATAATAACTTATCTAGTACAATATAATTTTTAAATTGTGTTTAATTAAGTCAAATAATACATTATATCAATATAATTAATCAATTAATTATTATATTATTATTATTACAGTATTATTATTTACAAAACTTTTTTTTTGTTTTGTTTATCAAAAAATTATATTTTTTAAATTAAACTATAAAAGTATTACTAATTAATTAATTTTTTAAAAAAAAATCATCATTTACAGCCATTTACTAATAAATCTATAAAATATTAAAAAAACTTTTTATTTTAAAATTTAGTAAAATTTTGTTATTAAATATTGATTTTAGCAACAAAAAAAATTTTCATCTATTAGTTTAAATCGTAAACTTTAATATATTAAATACAATTAGTTTCACTGATGACTAAATTATAGGTTTAAAAAAAAATTAATAAAATAAACCCTAAACTATTGTAGTCAATATTATTTGTTTAATACAAAATATATACAGTATATACTAAAAAAACAATAACTATATATAAATTATATATACATATATATATATATATACAAACCAATCCTAACCCGCGTACGGAAAATAAAATTGAAATTTAATTTTTTGTTTTAATTTTTTGTTTTTTTAATTCAATCATCAATTTGTATGATAGCCTTAACAACTAAATGCTTGCAAATTTTTTTTTTAAAAAAACAAATAATGATTTTTTTTGTAATTTATATATATTTTTTGAATAATTATTTTTTAATTCACTGCAATGTCTGAGACAATGGTTTAACAATCAGTTTGTTTGATAAAACATATCAATTAGTATTGTATTAATAAATGTCTTAAATAAATATGTTTAAAACTTTTGATACAATATATATATATATTTTTAAAAAAAAAATCATTATTTACAGCCATTTATTAATAAATACTATAAAATATTAAAAAACTTTTTATTTTGAAATTTAGTAATGGTTTTTTTTGGTTATTAACTATTTATTTTAGCAAAAAAATAAATAAAATGTTTTCATATATTAGTTTAAATCGTAAACTTTAAATATATTAATACAATTAGTTTTTCACTGATGACTAAATTATAGGTTTAAAAATAAAATAAACCCTAAACTTGTAGTCAATATTTTAAATACAAAATTTTGAAATTAAAATCCATACAAAAAATAATACCAGTATTTGCTTAACTATTACACTAATACTGCTAATAATTTTTGTTAAAAAAAAAATTATTATTTGCTTTAATTATATTTCGTTTTATATAAAAATAATATTTCTAATTATTTTAACTTAACATTTATTATTATTATTATTATTATTTATCCTAAGATAACAATGTCTTGTTGTGACAATTGTCTAAAGGATGTCAACCGTCAGTATTACTGTCGGATTGACATCAAACAGGTTGACCCCAACCCCAACCCCAACAACAGTAGCGGTGATATTAAATATCTGTTTTGTCGACACACCGGACCCGTCAAAGTCAAGAATATATTCAGCGTATGTGTCGATGGATATAATGAGACAATTATTAGTCTAGAGATACGCAACAACAACAACACTAATCAGTCAAACGATACCAATGAATGGTTAACTAAAGATCATATCATAGATTTTGCTGATTATATCGACTATACCGACGAACAGAAACGGACGGGTAGTATTAGGCTTGAGATACGTCCCATTCAAGTGACAGTTAATGTATCGTTGGCTGGACTGAAACAAACACACAAATCGGATGCTAATCAACAACAATCACTAGTCGTACCCATAATTATATTGCCGATACAGACACCAACTATCGGTCAATTGAAACAACAGTTAGCCCTGAAGTATATGTTTGAAACGGAAACCGTTTCACTGTATTTGTCCGATTCGGGCAAAACTCGACCGCAAGACAACCGCCAGCTAACCGATGACCAACCCATAGCTAATGTCTGGTTTTATGGCTATTATAGCCAAAGTGTTATTAACATTGTATCGACAAAAAGTGTTAAATATTTGACTGATGTTATCAATCGATCAAAGTATAGTATAAATTCAAAAAAAAATTTAATTAAATTTCTAATAATTTTTTTCTGTTTGTTTTGTGTATTATATATGATTTTTTTTTTGATCATCCAGTGATCTAATCATTGAAAAGATGACAACATTGTTATCAACGGCTAATGGCGGACAAAGTGTTAGCAATCAATCCGCTGATGCTGTCATTACAGCCAATAAGTATATTAAATATATATTTTTAAAAAAAATAATTTATTATATTAATTAAATTTTTTTAAATTAAGCGATTTATTGTCTGCAAAGATGACTGAATTGTCCGCCACTTTAACGGACACAATAAGACAATGTTTTGCTGAACAAACCAAAACTATAACCCAAGCCATAACTCAAGCCATCATCACTGCTGCCAACAAATACAACAACAGGTATTAAATATATATTTTTTTAAAATATAAATAAAAAAAATTTTATAATTAAATGATTTTTATTTTTCTTTTGATTCACTAGTGATTTAATAACTACCGGAAAACTGATGGCATGTCTGACAAATCAAACCAAACATTTTATCAATGCTCTGGCAGTTAGAGACAAATATTTGGCCGATTTGTTGGCCGACGAATCGGAAACCCATAGCCAATGGACTTGTAATGAATCGATTGTCCGAATCGATGACGATATCAATGTTATATTAGATGACAATCAATCGATTGATAATACAATTATCAGTCAAACGGTATCGGAATCGATGGACAACAACAACACCGACAATAACAACGACACGACTGATGTCGTCGGTATTGATGATAATAATATCGATATAAGGTATGAAATAATTAGTTTTTTTTTATTTATTTAATTAATATTATATATAATAATAATAATTTATTTGTTTTTTTTCAATGTTCAATGATAGCAATACAGATAGTTTGAATCAAATAGGATCTGCTTTAGAGACCATCATTAATAATGATGATGACGATGACAGTCAATTGATCGACCATTTATTGGATACCGAAGCTGTAGTAGTAGTGGTGGCGGCCGACCAGCAACAGGAGGACCAGGAGGAGGAGGAACAGTAGTTTTAGTTATTATTATTATTTTTTTTTATAAAAGACAATTTGCATTTTGATTACAAAATGTTTCAATGCAATGTAATTAATCTTAATGTTTGAAACATACAATTATCAATCAATACAATAATAACAAAATATAGTTATATATATACTATATATATATATATATTAAATTCAATTCAATTAAAAATCTATTGAATACTTTTTTATTATATTAATGTTTTACAGTAATTTTTTGTTGTTGTTGATCAGATTATGAAATTATATGAAATTATGTAATTATTATTACAATTACATTATTAATAATATATAGCAATATATTAACAAACAAACAAACAAATTATAATTTTAATTAATGGCATTTGTTATTTAAAAAAAAAAATCATAATATTGTATGAAATTAATTGTTAATTATTTAATGTTTTTCAAAATTTATTTTTTGATTTACTTATATTTTTTGAAATACAGTTATATAAATATTTATAATCTGTTAAATCAGTAAATTTGTGTAATATTTTTATTATATAATATGAATTATTACTGTTTATTATAATATTATCATTTATTATAAAATTATTATATTTAAAAAAAAAATTAATGTTTGTGTACTAATAAATATGTTATTAATAAATATCTTAATAAATATGTTGGAAAAAACTTTTGATACTATTTACAGACATTTTATTAATAAAATCAATAAAATATTTTTTGAAATTTAATAATATTTTTGGTTATTAACTATTTATCGTATTTTAGCAAAAAAATAAAATTAGTTTTTAATCAATTAGTTTCATAAACTTGAATATATTCATACTATTAGTTTCACTAATGACTAAATTATAAGTTTTATAAAAATAAAATAAACCCTAAACTTGTAGTCAATATATATAACTTTTTTAATACAAAATTTTTTTTTCAGACTATATATATATACAGTATATACAGTATATACAAAAATATATGTACAAAAATATATATATGTTTTTCGAATATTTTCAATTAAATTTATTTTTAGAAAAATATTATATTAAAAACTTTATATTTTACTAATCATTAATATTAGTAATGTATTATATTAATATAAAATTATAAAATAACTTAAACAAACTAATAATGTAATAATCAAATTAAAATATATTTAGAAATTATTATTATTATTTAGAATTTAAACCTAAATATATTATAAATATGAACTAAAGTATGTACTATGTATTAAAAAATAATTTTTAAAATTTTAGATTTTAATTATTAAATTTATTAAATTATTATTTCATAAATAGTATTAACGAAACAAATATATTATTTTATAATTTATAAAAATAGCTTAATTTATTAAATTGTATTTTATGTTAATAAGCATCTTAGTATTTAATATTATATTTTATTTAAAAATAAATATTTTAATTAAAATTATTATCAATATATATACTTATTACATATATATATATATATTACATAGTTTATTAACTACTTATAGTATAACAATAATGATAAAATTAATTAAACGTTTTGTTACACTACTAATTATTGTTAAAATATTTGTTTTGAATTATAGACCAAATTTAGTTAATATATTCAATGAATTTTAAACAATATTTTATAGACAATATATATAACATTATATCCCAGTATTGAAATGCTTTCTAGCATTCTCAACTGGTTTATACTGCAAATTATTATATTTAAATAAATAAATAAAATAAATTTAATTACCTATATATATATATATATATATATATATATATATATATATATTGTTAGTATAATCATACTATATGATAACTATACTACAATACAGTAATTATAATAAATTAATACTCTCTCTCTCTCTCTCTCTCTCTCKCTCTATAGATATATATATATATATATATATATACTGTATATCAATATATTATTATATTTAAAGTATAAAATATTTTAATCTTATGACCTGAAATAACCTTATATTTTAATATTTACTTTTATTTCAGGTCATAGGATTAAAATATTTTATACTCTATATATAATAATATATTGATATATATATATTGTTTAATACAAAATATATTGTAGTTTACTGTATATAATGTGTTTGATATTATTCATATCAATCATACAGTATATACAGTATATTCATATTTATAATTAATTTATCGTTTTTTTGTTGTTGTTGTTATTAAATGATATTAACTTTTTGTTTGTAGTTTAAGATTTCGGGTGCTGTTGTCAACATCGGAGACCCATTAGTGGACACAATCGGTGAACACAATCGGTGAACACAATCGGTGGACACAATAGTTCATAAAGTCGACAGACATTTGAACCAAATATTTCAAATAATGGGATATCATTTTGAATCAATAAAAAAAAATTCATACAAAATATATGTACTTTAAGTGTATATATTGTGTTTGATATTATTCATACAAATCATATATATATAATATATATTCATATTTATAATTATTTTATCGGTTTTTTATTAAATGATATTAACTTTTTTGTTTGTAGTTTAAGATTTCGGGTGTTGTTGTTAACATCGGAGACCCATTCGGTGGACACAATCGGTGGACACAATCGGTGGATACAATCGGTGGACACTATAGTTCATAAAGTCGACAGTCTTTTACCGGAATTCATTCCGAAGACATCTGAAACCAAATATTTCAAGTAATGGGATATCATTTTGAAATTAAAATCCATACAAAAAATACCAGTATTTGCTTAACTATTACTACTGTGTAATACTATTAATAATTTTGTTTAAAAAAATTAATTATTTGCTTTAATTATTTTTCGTTTAATTAACATTTTACTTATTATATTAGTAGAAAAATTTTTATTTAAAAAAACAAATTTAATATATAATAGTAATATTTCTAATTATTTTTACTTAACATTTATTATTATTATTACTACTTAATTAAGTTATTTTAGTTTATTGTTTTTTTGTGTGTGTATTATTTAAATATGATTATATGAGACAATTACTTAATAATATTAGATAAGATTTAATTATAAATTTTAAAGTCAAACATATATATTATTTTACACTTTTTTTTATTAGCTATAATTTAGTTGTAAATATCCTAATCTCTTAAAAATATAAGTAATAATGTTATACTTTAAAAACTAAAATTTTTTTTTAAAAAAAACAATACTAATAATATTTCTTATAATTTTTAACTTTTATTATTATTATTAAATCTTGTTATTGTTTAGACTATTATTTTAATATAATAATAATAATTTGTTTGTTTGTTTGTTTGGTTATCATCTAAAAAAAAAAATATCGCTTATAATGTTTTAAAATATATTATTATTATTATTATACAGAATATACTATCACTCGATTGGTAACAACAACAACCCTCCGCCCCATACATACTAGGACTTGACATACATCATACACATACCCGTCCCATATCTATACACACACACACACACACACACACACACACACACACAATGTCTGCTGATTGTATCTGTACTACTGGTTATGCTAAAAACTATTCATATAGACTAATAACCAAACAATTAGATGCCAACCCCAGTGCTGGCCATGATTTTCTATACAAGTTTTGCGATAGTTGTTATACTAATATATATGGATATACCTTATTGGGTGCGGCCGTCAACGGTTATGTCCATACAGACAAAAATAATCTGACACTAAGTTTACGTGAAATTAATACATCAAATAATAGCACTATTAGGCAATATTTAGCTAATGATTTAATTCAATGGACGGGTAGTTGGGATCGTCGATTTGAGATTATAGTTGAATCAATTACAATGAAACTAACGGTCTCACCATCCATAGCACTCAATCAATCGGATCTAAACAGTATTATTTTGGATTATTGTATATCACCGAAAAATACCCAAACAATTGGCCAATTAAGACAAGAGTTGGCCAATCGGTACGGCTATCGGATTAATAAATTGTATTTAACTGATAGTAGTAGTAGTAGTAGTAGTAATAGTAGTCGTAGTAGTCGTCAATTATTAGATGATATGTCCATTGAAAATGTCTGGTTTTTCGACAATATTGCCAACAGTTTGATTAATGTCGTACCAAAATCAATGTCCTGTTGTGACTATTGTCTAAAGGATGTAAACAACCGTCAGTATTATTGTCGGATTGACATCAAACAGATCGACCCAAACAACAACAGTAGCGGTGATTCAGATTTTAAATACCTGTTTTGTCGACACACCGGATGGGTTAGAGTTAAGGATATATACTATGTATGTGTCGATGGATATAACGAAACAGATATTAGTTTAGAGATACGCAACACTAATCAGTCAAATGATACCAATGAATGGTTAAGTTTGGATCAGTTCATTGATTTTACTGATTATATCGACTATACCGACGAACAGAAACGGACGGGTAGTATTCGGTTTGAGATTCGGGCCATTAAAGTGACGGTTAACGTGTCGTTGGCTCGACTGAAACACACAAACAAATTGGTAGATAATCATCAATCACTCGTACCGTTAAATATATTGCCGATACAAACCACGACTGTCGGTGAATTGAAACAACAGTTAGCCCTAAAGTATATGTTTGAAACGGAAACCGTTTCGTTGTATTTGTCGGATACGGACACCAATGAACCGCATGACAACCGCCTGCTAACCGATGACCAACCCATAGCTAATGTCTGGTTTTATGGTTATTATAGCCGTAGTGTTATTAACATTGTATCGACAAAAGGTGTTAAATATTTGACTGAAGTTATCAACCGATCAAAGTATAGTATAAATTAAATTTTTTATTAATCTTTAATAATTTATGAACTTTTTTTTGTTGGTGTTTTGTTTGGTATTATTTGTTTTATTTTTTTTCCAGTGATCTAATCATCGAAAAGATGACAACACTGTTATTAACGGCTAATGGCGGACAAACTATTGCCAATCAATCCGCTGATGCCATCACTGATGCTGTCATTACAGCCAATAAGTATTTTATCTATTTTTAAATAAAAAAAAATCATTTACTTATTAATTAATTAATTTTTTTTTAATTATCAGAGATTGGTCTGCAAAGATGACTGAATTGTCGACCACTTTATCGGACACAATAAGAGACTGTTTTACTGAACAAACCAAAGCCATCATCGCTGCCAACAAACACAACAGGTATTCACTATTTTTTTTAATAAAAAAAATAAAATAAATAAAACTTTTAATTAATTCTATGATTAAATGATTTTTTTTGATAAAATTTTTGATTCACTAGTGATGTAATAACCGGAAAACTAATGACAGGTCTCGCAAATCATACCAAACATACTATCAATGCTTTGGCACTGAGAGACAAATATTTTGCGGCCGATATATTGGACTCGGAAACCAATAGCCAATTGACTTGCAATGAATCTGTATTAGACAACATTAATAATGATGATAACGATGACGATGACAGTCAACTGGCCGACCATTTACTGGATACCGAAGCTGTAGTAGTGGTCAACCAGCACAAGGAAGAGGAGGAGAAGGAGCAGCAGTAGCTCAGGTACTCTGAGAGACTACAGGAGCTACTGATGAATGATATGCAATGAAATGCAAATGCAAATTACAATATTGGATAAAACAACGAAAAATAAATAAGTAGTTATTATTATTATTTATTTTTTTTAAAAGTCAATTTGCATTTTGATTATAACATTATTGTTTTAATGCAATCAATTGTTAATTATTATCTAAATATTATTTCTATAAATATTTTTTTTTATTTACGGTACTTATATTTTTTTTAAGACAAATTATCAATTATCAATACAATAACATAATATAGTTATATTCAATATATATAATCAATAATTTTATATAATCTATAGAATACTTTTTTTTATATATTAGTTTAATTTTTTTTAACAGTAATTTTTTTGCTCAGATTATGATATTATATTATTTGATTACAAATTATGCAATTATTATGATTATTATTATGTTATAGATGTTTCCAATATTTTTTAAATTAATTTTTTTTGGTGCTAAATATATTACATTATTAACTAATTTTTTATTTAAATTTAATTTTCAGTTAATTGCAAATTTACAAACTTTATAATTATTTTTTTTAGTAACATTTGTCATATTGTTTAATGCAATTAATTGTTAATTATTATCACAATGTGTTTTGTTTCAAGTTTTACTAATTAAATCTTAATCTTAATTATCAATACAATCATAATATAGATAATCAATATTTTTTTTGAATATATTTTTGAAATACAGTTATATATTTAGTTATAATCTGTTATAATCACTAAATTCTTGTAATATTTTTTAAAAACTTTTAATTATTACGATTTATTTACGATTATTTACTGTTTATTATAATATTATAAGAAAATTTTTGTGTGTATTAAATATGTTATTAATAAATATGTTATTAATAAATATGTTTAAAACTTTAGATAAAATATAATTTTTTTAAATCATTAATTACAGCCATTTAATAATAAATACTATGAAATATTAAAAAACTTTTTTTTTGAAATTTAATAATGTTTTTTGTTATTAACTATTTATACTATTTTAGCAAAAAAATCTTAAAGTTTTTCATCTATTAGTTTCATAAACTTTAATATATTAATACAAATTAGTTTCACTGATTATCACAATTATAAGTTTTTAAAAAAAATAAAATAAACCTTAAACTTGTAGTCAATATACAGTATATAACTTTTTTTAATACAAAAGTTTTCAGTCACACTATATATATATATATATATATATATTGTATTTGGCATTCATACCAATCATATACATATATATTCATAATATAAATAGTTTTACTGATGACTAATTTATAAGTTTTTTTTTTAAATTAAAATAAAATAATTCCTAAACTTGTAGTCAATATATAACTTATTAATAGAAAATCTTTTAACTTAAAAAAAAACTTTTAAAAAATCTCAAGCAATATGTGTGACAACAACAACGTAGCGGCAATTGTTATGGACAACGGCTCCGGTTTTTCCGAAAATGTTTTTAATTGGTGCGGCCAATGATGTCTTCCTAACTCTTCAATGTTTAATCCTCTCTCTCTCTCTCTCTCTCTCTCTCTCTCTCTCTCTCTCTCTCTTTCTGCTCCGCAAACATAATCTTAAAATTATCAATAATTAAATTATATATATTGAGGCGGTCGGGGAGTTTAAAATTTATAAAAATTATGTAACATCACATGACAAATTAAATGACACAAAAATTAGTTTACAATATGTGACTTAACTGCACTATATCAATAATAATTATCAAAATATAAATTATTGATTTTATTAATTATTTTTTTGATAAAAATGATTTTTAATAATATAATGTGGCTCAACTTTGTACAATTAAAAACTAATTAAAAACTAATTAATATATAAGTATAATAATTTTTAAAAATATAACATTAAATTATTAAAAATCATTTATATAAAAATAATAATTAATAAAATCAATAATTTATATTTTGATAATTATTATTGATATAGTGCAGTTAAGTTACATATTTTAAACTAATTTTTGTATCATTTAATTTGTCATGTGATGTTACATAATTTTTATAAATTTTAAACTCCCCGACCGGCTCAATATATATAATTTAATTATTGATAATTTTAAGATTATGTTTGCGGAGCAGATCCACACTTTCCTAAAAACATCTATTGATAATTATAATGTCACCAAAAAAATTTCATGACAATTGATTCCAGGGACGGGTGTTTTTTGGGGGTTCAAAGTTTGATTTTTCTTGTATACCTCCCATTATAATAAAAAATTATTTTATTTAATAACTATAAAAATATTGATCCGATTGATCTAAAATTTAATATATATGTGTAAAATTGTATTATATATTAAAATATATCAATTAAAATATTAATTTCAAAAATTTCCTTAACCGCGCCTGCTACTTTAATTAATTCAAAATTTTTTTAAATTTTATTTTCTATATGAATAACAAAAAAAAATATTATTATAACTTTAGTTGTAATTTTTGTTTTTTTTAATCAATACTTCTATACTAATAAATACACTAATAATTGTAGCTATAATTTATTTATTAATATATAATTTAATTTAAAAAAAAAAATCTTTTATTAATAAATAGTTACAATTACAATTAATAATTTTTGATGGAAATAATTAAAAATCTACAATATTAAAATTTTATTTTAATATATATTAATAATAATTATATATATATATATATAGTTTAAAAATAAAATAAAATAATATCTTAAATAATTTTTATGGCAATATTTTTTTTTAATTTAAAAAAACATACACTGCTTATACAGTTTACTTCAATTATATATTTTTAAATAATATAAATGTTATTATTATTTTTAAAAAGTTTATTTATATATACATTTAAATATTAAGTAATGTATTTACTTTGAAAAAAAATTAAATAAAAAATTAAATAAAAAAATACATTGAAATGGAAATTATCAATATATTCAACAATATATATGATATATATATATTAATACAGTATATAAACAGTACAATCACTTAACTTATTTTTTTCCCACATATTGTTATAACATATTAATCAGTGATATATTGATAACATGAAAAATTTTTTATAATATAATCAATAATTTGTATGCCTCCCTATGTTACTAACCCCCACCCCATCCCCTATCAGCCTACCCACCCCTACACACCCTGTTTAGTCCATATATCAGATATCATTGTCATATTAAAACTGTATATTAGATCCGAAAATTTCTTAGGGAATGCTTAAAGGCTCGGCTCTGATGATACTGTGGCGGACACACTGTTGTTGTCCCGCCGGCGGCCACCGACTGTTGTATGGCCATCGGTAACGAAATGGCCGATCCATTGGTCGATCGATGTTCACCGGCACCGTTACCACCGCCGGTGGTAGTGGTTGTGGCCAATGTTAGACTGGTATGCGATGCCATCGATACTGAATGCCGATCGCCGGGACCACCACCGCTACCGCCGCCGCTGCCGGGCTTCGAGTTTTTAATCAATTTCAGACAGTAGTCCATCCGAATGGTGGCCAATACCGAGTAAAACCATTTCAATATACGTCGCCGTAGTTCAGTGGGTGCGGCCAACGTATAGATGATCGGATTCAATGCACTGTTGATCGGCAATACAAACACGACTACCCAGGCATAGACATTGGCTATACATACATACGGTAGATATATATGGGGTATACAAACAAACAAAACAAAAAATAATTATAACTTTTCTACTAAACTAATGGATAATACGGTAAACTAATGGGTATTTATTTATTTATCATACAAGAGATAGGTAGCTCAGTGAGGGCCAGTATTTTGATGACAACAATGGGTATCCAACAGAGACAATCGGTAACAACAATGCCGAAAAAACGTAAGGCCAGTATGGCGTCCTCGCGTTTGCGGCCAACAAATACGGGTCGGGCGTGTTGTCGGTCCCGTTTGATTATGTAAAACATTATCAGATAGAGTGTTATGATTAGCAATACCTGTTAGTATAGTAAGATAGGGATAGATAAATGGATAGTTAGTTAGTTTAGGGATAGGGATGGGTGGGCTAGGACTTACAGCTGAAAAATTGATGCCCAAAAATACCAGTGCCGAGTACTGCCAGCCAGTCATATAGGGTTCGTCAATGTGTAGGGGAAAACATAGACCATTGGACGCATAGAAAACCCGATCACCGGTAGTCGTATAGTAGGCTACCGGATACGCTGCCAATCCGATGGCCAGCAGCCATACGACAGCCATATTGACTTTGGCTGCCATTATGGTTACCACCCGAAAGTTGGCGGTTATACAGCGGAACCGTTCGATGGTTATGAGGGCCAACGTAAATACGGATACCTGCGACGATACCATTGCCATAAAACCGCATGTTGTACACGACCAGGATGACATCCACGATAGGGCATGCCGTCGATAGTCATCCCTGAAGGCCAGATCGTGGGCACCGATAGCGCACAGATAGATACCCATTAGCAGATCGGCCGCTATTATATTAGTAATAATAATAATAATATTAATAATAGACAAAACAATAGACATACTATACAATATAATTAGTTAATAAATTTAATGTTTTTTTTGATAATACTGTAAAATCTATAATAATATAGTAATAATTTAATTTAATTAAAAATAGATATTTATAATTAAATGATAAAAAATATTATTATTATTAGTTTTATAGTAAGTGTTATATTAGCTATTGATTATTGCTAATGTATTAAGCAATAATTTTTTTATAAAAAAAAAATAATTATGATAATTTTTAGTTGTATTAATATTATCTAAATTATATTATCTAAATATTAATAATAATTTTAATAGTTTTAAGTAATTAAAAATAGTTTAAAAAAATAAAAAATAGTATTCAACTTTTTAGTTATAAAAAATATAAGTAAAAATTTTTAATTAAGAAAAATAATACTCAATATTTTTTTTGTAGAAATTATCTTGCTAAATTATTGAAGTTCAAAAATAAAAATATTTTTTTTATATACATTTAAAATAATATTTATAGATTTTATATAGATTTTTTCAAACAAAATATCCAAAATAAAAACTTATTTGTGTAATTAAAAAAAAAATTAAATTATTAATATTAAAATTATTTTATTTTTTAGTATTTTTCAAAATTATAAAATTAACCTGATAGATTTTTGATAAACAATGATAGGACATGGTCCTCCTTTTGGGACAGCGATCGCCAAACTAGTACAACAATATTGCCAACACAGGTAACCAGGGCTACCACCCATACCGAGTAGCGTAGTATCGGTAGCACCAGTAGATGTTCAGCCGATGATAGACCGTCGGTAATCGGTCGACATATACGGACTAATTTAAATTAGTAGTAAAATTGAAATATTTATTATTATTTATTTTATTAGTTAAATAATTTTTTATTAAATTTAATTTTACTAATTAAATGTGATTATAATGATTGTAATTATTTATTTTTTTAAAAATTGTTTACCTCTGGGAGCGTATGAACAATAGCGAAATTTTTTGAAATATCTAATAATAATAATAATTAAAAAATATATTTATATTTTTAAAAAATTTTATTTTATAGTTAATACATATTTACATATATTTACATATTATGATAATATATAATATTATTTATCAAACAAACAATTTTTTTTATTAGCACAGTATTAAATAGTTAATTAATTTATTAATAGTTTATAATAAATTATATTTACTTTTTTAAAAAATGTATTTTTTTGCTAATATTTAATAATAATTATTATTATTAAAATGTATTATTTAAAATAAACATTATTTTGTATATAAAAGTTTCACAACTTTTCCTCTCTCTCTCTCTCTATATAATTAAAAAAAACTGAAACATTTAGTTACACACAATTAAACACTAAAATATCGGCTAATTTTAATGGCATTTAAATATAGAGTAAACAATAAATCAATCAATAATTAATTGTTGAAAAAATAAAAAATATTTAGTAATAGTAGGAGTAGTATATAATATAAATTACAAACAGTTTCTTATAATATATATATATATAATACAATACCGGTATATATAAGTCATTGCCAAATGTATAGCACACACACACATACACACCCAGGGATGACATTGGATGGCAAGGACTTGTATGTATGTATTGTATGCCAATTATATATATATAAAAAAAAATTTATAATAGTTTTTTATTTATTTATTTTTTAAAAACTATTTATTTCAATAACAATATACTGTACAACAATAACACTACACAAAACAAGTCAACTAACAAAAAAAACTAATAGTAATATATATAGAGTATTAATAAATAGTTTAAAAAAAAACAATAAAAATATACTAGTAATGTATAGTTTTTATTTTAAGTGAAAACTAATGTTTTTCATTATTATTATTATTATTATTATTATATACTTAACTACTATTAATATATAAATTTATATATAATATTGAGAGATGACTTACATGTGCCGTAGTTGTACACAATGGGCAAAATGTGCTAAATCTATGTTAGCTATTGTGATGCCCTGTAAATCACTGATTGAATAATAATAATATTATTATTAGTAAAAAAAATTTATTATAAATAATATTAAAATATTTTTATATTTTTTTAAAAAAAATAAAATAATTACAGCGATTGTAATGATGATAAATCTTTAAATATATTGACAGGTAATGAACGAATCGGATTATCTTTTAAATCCCTATTTTGTTAATTTATAAAAAATTAATTAATTAATTTTTTAATACAAAAATTATATTCACAAATCAAAATATTATTTGATTACTTATATTTATTTTTAAAAATAATAAAATCAATAATTATTAATTAATTTATTTTCTTTTAATTATAAATACATACAACTTATGCAATCGATATAAGCCTTTAAATGTATTTTCATTGATATTATCGTTGAGTTTATTATCAGATAAATCCAATTCTTCAATATATTTATTATTATTAAATGCTTTCGAGTCAATGGTTTTTATTTTATTTCGCTTTATATGTCTATATATTTATATAATTTATATATAAGAAAAATATAATATTTAATAAAAAAAAATAATTAATAATTCAATAATAATAATATATCAAAAAAATAAATAAATAAAATAAATATATAACAAACTTGACATTTCCTATTATAATATACTGTACTATAATATATAGTATATCATAAATACATTTAATTATTATAATTAATTTATATATTATATATATATATATATAAGTTTATTGAACTTACAATGTTTTTAGCTTGGTCACATTATAAAATAGTTGCCTGCTTATTGATGTTAAGTAATTGTTGTCGAGTATACTATAAATATTAATAAAAAAATATTACATATAAATAAAAAACATCAGTTTATTGATGGCTAAATAGCTTTATATATATATGGATATAGAAAAATAATAAACAATAAAAAAAAGCAAATAAATAAATATAAAAAAGTTTGGATCAAAAGTTTAATGTATTAAACAAACCAATCACTAATAAAAAATAATTTAATACTATTACTTAACTTAACTATATATATATATATATATTAATTTGATTGTTTAATATATATATATATATACAATATATGACTTAATTTATATTTTTTTAATTATATATATATATAGTATATCTATATTACTTACACCCATGAAAGCTCCGGTAGTACTGGGAATGTCTGGGTATCCAAAATGAGTTGATTATGACCGACCACTCTATATATATATATATATATATCATTACAATAATAATAATAATTATTATTATTATTAATCCACTAAATTATAATATGTTAAGAAAAAAAAGTTTGATAAAAATATACTTAAATAAATAAAAATATAAAAAACATTAATTTTAAAAAAATATTCTGTGTATTGAAAAAAATAATTATCTGACACATGTTTTATATTTATAAATAAAAAAAATATATAATTTTTTTTTAAATTTAATTATTTAGTCAATATTTTTTTTGTTAACATTGAATTAATAAAAAATGTTTATATATAATAGTTTAGTTAATCTGAAAAAAAATTGTTTATATTAATAATTGATAGTTTAATATATACTGTATACACAACAATAAAAAAAACTGTGACAAACTATTTTTATATTTTTATAAATTATTATTATAACAGTTTTTATTTATAAGTAATTAAATCTACTAATATTTAATATAACAATAATATATATATGTATATAATAAACAACAATATTATATATCATTTATATGTTTTAAAAAAAATTACTATTGATATAATATTATTAATAAAATTTATAAAATAATACAAAGTTTATGTGAATAATATATATATATTGTCACATATTTACTAATAATGTAAATATAGTTGAATTTATTAGATTTATTTAATTATATCTTATTTTTTTACATTTTACATTATTAACTAATTTACTACTAAAATAATGTAATTTATATATATATATATATATATTATAAATGACTTAATTAAACTTTTCAAACTCTATTAATAATTAATATAATTATTGTTTGTTTGGATTTAATAATACTTTAATAATAAATAATTTTTCTAATTTTATTTCTATTTATTTTTTTATTATTGCAAATTCTTGAGATTATTTAAAGCAAAACATTTGTTATTTAAAAACTATTTAAAAAAACATTTAAATATACAGTATATTGTATTACTTGTTAGTACAGTATAAGTGCATAAATATATGTAAAATTGTTATGTAATTTAAGTAGTAGTAGCAGTAGTAATATATTATAATTATAATTTTATATTAAATATATATATATTTAGAAAAAATTATGTTTAATATTAAAATACAGTTTCTTTCAAACAAACAAACAACTAATGTATAAAATAACTACAATATTATCAATAGTAAAAAAAATTGTGAATTATATAACAACAACAAAATAATAGACAAAAATATATATAAAAAGAGTTGAATGACACCATTGACTAAACCAATTGATATCAATAACAACAACAACAACAAAAATGCCATTAATTTTCTAGTAGTGGACAGTACTATACTATACTATATAATAGACGACAGTTTTAGGGCAATCCCCCCTCCCCCATAAATGTCCAGTAATATTATATATCAATATATATTTATATATATATATAGTTAAGTGGACTTACAGTAGGCTAAGCGCTGGTGAGCTGATGAGTGACGACAAGTCAAACGATTTAATCTCATTGTATTCAAGATATCTAATAATAATAATAAAATATAACACAAAAAACAAATTAATAAATAAATAAATAAAAACAAATTTATAATAAATTATTTATACATTAAGACTGTGCTATATATATATGTATAGAATATCTATAGTATATATATATATAAAACACATATAAAATATTTGTAGTTTTAATTTGATATTTATAATGATTTTTTTTGTTGCTTTTAATTATTTTTTATTTTATTTATAGTTACATATTTTTTCCCTACAATAATATATTTATGTAATATTGTTATAAATAAATCATAAATCATTGTATTAATATTAGTTTCTCTATGTTTATTAAATATATCATAAAAAACAATTGTTTATCACATATAATATATAAATAAATAAACTTAATAAACATTAGATATTTATATACTACTACTAGATTATATGACATTTATATGATTTATTGTCATATATATATATATATATATATATATATATATATATATATATATATATATATATATATATATATATATATATATATATATATATATATATATATATATATATTTGTATATATATTGTAATCTATCATAATCAAATAAATAAAATTAATATAATTTAATAAAACATCATTTACAATTTTTTTAGCTGGCTCAAACCATTGAATGCTCCCGATGCTATTGCATGTAGTTTGTTACTTTTAATTGATCTAGATAATTATTTTATTATTTAAAAAAAATAAAATAAAATTCATAATAAATATAATTATAAAATTTATTTAATTAAAAAAATAAAATTTTAATTTAATTACAATGTTTTCAATTTGTTGACACCGACAAACGTGTTTGGTTTTAATTGTTCAATAAAATTAAAATCCAAATATAATGACTGCAATTTTGAGTATTGCCATAATATTGTGACATTTATATGAGTTATTGTGTTTTTATTAAGCACTCTATATATATATAAAAAAACAAAAAATATATAATATATATATATAATAAAAAAATAAAAATTGAAAAAAATATTATTATCAATACTTATCTAAAAAAACAAACAAATATTTTTAAAATAATATTAGTATTATAATATGTTTACTACTGTTATATATATAAATATATATCTAATCCAATCAATGAATATATCAATAAAATATAATATATATAATTAGAAAAAACAAAACAAATTTTTAAAAATAAATAATATTATCAATAAAAAAACTTATCTAAAAAACAGACAAACAAATATTTTTTTAAATGTTATTATTATTATTATATATGTTTACTACTGTTATATATACTACTAATCCAATCAATCAAATACATACAGTTTGGTTATATTAATGTTGAGATTATCGGGAATATCTATTAGACTACTATTTTCGCAAAATACCACCTTTTCGTCCATTAGATTGCAACTGCACTGACCCTTGAAATACATTTCAATATCTATAACATAGTATAGGACAGTATAGATGATGATGGGGACAGTTAGCAAAAAAAAATATCACATATTAGTATATTGTTAATAATGATAATGTTAAAAATAAAATTATATATATATATATCAATTATATAAATTGCTTACTGCAATGTTTAGGTGTATATTCGTGGGTTAATTTTGTACCATTTTTTAGATGCTCATGTATTATGGCAAATGCTCCAGCTAATCGTCCAGATATATCACCTAGGATGATTAATAATAATAATTTTATTATTATTAAAAAATTGAAAAATTTTAATATATATTAAGTTAAATAATTTTATTTTTTTTATATTTTTTTGGTATTATATATTCAATAGAATATGAACTTTTTAATTTGATATAATCTATTAATTAATAAAATAATTAGATATATATATATATTATATCAGTATTTATACTGTATATTAATCTAAAAATAATTTTCTTTATTTATTTCAATTTATTTATATTTTTATATATACATAAATTTGTATATATATCAGTTGAAAATTAATTTTTATTTAATTAATAAAAATTTATTTTTAAAACAATATATATATATATCAAAAATCTATTTATCATTTTAAAATATTAATAATAATAAATTAGCTAGTTATTATTATTATTATTATTATTCAAATTTTCATAAACAACTTAATTGAATTAAAATCTAATTTAATTACTTAAAATAAAAAATAAATTAAAAATTTATCTCAAATTAAAATCGGTACACACTGTTTGCATACAAATTACTTTTATGATACAGTATTATATATATACACTAAAATCATATAATTAATTAATTATTATTATTTTAAATATATAATTAATACCGCATTCAAGCTCATCCTCGCCATTAGGACAGTCAGGTTCGCCATTGCAATGATATTGCCTGTCTATACAGATAATAGTACCGTCACTACCACTACCACTACTACTACTACTACTAGTAGTAGTAGTAGTTATATTGCATGGAAACTGTTCAATAGGGCAAACTGTATCTGTAAATAATAAATTTAGATGGGTTAAAAAAAAGTATAATTGATAATAGTATCATAATTATAATTAATTAAGTGTAATTTATTATATAATTAGTATATTATGAAAAATTATTATATAAAATATTTTTAAAAAAATTTTTAAAATATTAATTTTTCAATTAATTAATTAATTTTAAAATATGTTTTCTATGAATTCAAATATTCATTAACTCAATGATCACTTATTATTATTATATTATTATTAATTTGTGATTAATTTTATTTGTTTATTTCTACATCTATTTATATTAAAAATAAGATAATATATATATATATATATTTAATATATATATATATATATAAATTTCATAATTAATAATAATTTTTAATAATTTCAAATGAAACCCATACAGTGTAGTGAATCATCAAAATTAATTATCTATTAATTTTTTTGACTTAAATATTTATTTAATTAATTTAAATACAGTATATTAAATAGTTTTTAATATTGAAAATAATTTTTTTTTTAAAAATAAATATAAATAAAATCTTTTATGATATCATATATATATTTATTTATATACTATTTATTTATTTAATTTAGAGTATAAGTTATGATAATTATATGGACTTTAAATTATATATATATATATATATATCTCTAACATAAGTTACAATAAATAGCTATTATATTATATCTATAAATAAATATTTAATTATTTATCATCAGTATAATAAAAATTATAATATTTTTTGTGTTGAAAATAGAAAATATATATTTTTGTAGTAATATTTTTAAAAATAATTTTTAAATCAAATCTACTTAACTATTATATTATATAATCTATAGAAACTTTATATATATATTATTTATATATTATTTATATCTTACATTTCCTTCACAATAATAATAATAATATGAAATAAATTTATGTCAATTTATCATATCATATGTTTTTTTCATAATACTAAGTGTAATGTTATATATATTTATTATAGATAAATGTTTTATTTGTTGTTGTATTTTATCTTTAAATTTATAAGTGTTATAAAAATATTTTATTTTATATTATATTTCTTAATATATATATATTTATCAAAAAATAAGTGTATTTTTATATCACTTATTTGATTATAAATATGTTTATTTATTATATATATATATATATGTCACACAAAATTTACTGTATATTATATCATATCATTATATACTTTATCTTAAAAAAAACTAAAATAATAAATATGTTTAATAATGTTTTAATAAAAAACAATTAATGTTAAACTATTATCTTAGAAATTATTTACATATTGATTAAAACATTGAAAAATATACTAAAAAATATAATATTATAAATAGTAACAACATTACTGTATTTATTTAATAGTAATAAAATTATGATAATTATTATCAATAATTATTTAATAATTTACAATATATATTATCTACTTATAAATGTTAATTTTATATACAGTATATAAAACAATCAAAAAGTAATAATATTTTATCAAAAAAAAAATGTTAATAAAATTATGTATAAAATATTTAATACTAAATATTTAAGTAATAAAAAATTGACAATTATTTTGAATCATATTTATTATTTACAGATATAATTACATTTAAAATAATATTTATTACTATATCAATAAAAATTTTTAAATAAAAACATAAAACACATTAATACATAGTATTTTAAAATTATGTAGATATTTATAGACAATAAATTACTATTTTTAATTATATTTAAATTATTGTAACTTTTTTGTTTAACTAAAAAATAATAATTATTAGATTTTGCATTTAGATATTATTGCAAAATAATAAACACTGTATATTAAAAACCAATGATATTTAGTATAAATATGTATAAAAATTTTCTAATGTAATAATAATACTAATAATACTAATTTAAATAGTAATTAAAAAAAAGTTTTTATTAGTATTTAATAGTTAAAACTTGTAATTTATTTTGAAAATGAAACATAAAATTATAATTTTTGCTAAAATAAATATAAATATCAATATATAAAGTTTAAAGAGTTAACATTTAAAACATTACACAACACATTATATATATTATATATAAAAGTAAAATCAAATAATTTTAAATGTTTTTATTTATTGAAATTTATTGCTTTTTAAAACAATTTTAGTGTCGTATTTGATATTTTAAAATATTTAAAATACAATATATTATTATTAATAATATATTGTAAGTGTAAGTATAGTAAGTGTTTTGTGATTTTGCTAAATATCTATTTTTATGATTATTTTTATTTTAATAAATCATTAGATATATAGTTAAATATTTTAGAGTATGTATGTATGTATGTATGTGTGGTATGTGTGTGTGTGTGTGTGTGTGTGTGTGTGTGTGTATGTATGTATGTATGTATGTGTGGTATGTGTGTGTGTGTGTGTGTGTGTGTGTGTGTATGTATGTATGTATGTATGTATATATATATGTGTGTGTGTATGTGTGTGTATGTGTGTGTATATGTGTGTATGTGTGTGTATGTGTGTGTGTGTATATATGTGTGTGTATGTGTGTGTGTGTGTGTGTGTGTGTATGTGTTTATTTGTGTGTATGTATGTATGTATGTGTGTGTGTGTGTGTGTGTGTGTGTGTGTGTGTGTGTGTGGTTTATATGTGTGTGTGTGTGTGTGGTTTATATGTGTAAAAAACCTAAAATATATTGTCATTTATATTTTTAAATACCAGCTAAAAAAATTAGTGTGATTTCATCGGAGACTTAAAAAAAACAAACAAAATAAATCTAAAAATATTGATTTCACAACAGTATAGCTGTAATTATATGTCTATTTATATTCAAGCCATATATAATATATTAAAACTAGTAATGAAAATAATAATTTAAATTTAATTAAATATTATTAAAAATAAAAAGTTTTTTAATTACTATCACAAACTTAATTGATATTTAATAATAATTTGATATTTTTATTTTTGTTGGTATTATTTTTATTATTATTATTGCCAGTGTATAAAATTTAACTAAAACAACTAAATTTCATAGTCTAGTATATACTATATATAAAATTATATATATATATATATTATTACATATGTCATAAACAGCAACAGTTAATAACATTTTGATTTTATTTTTTTTATGGATATTATGGACACACTATATACTAGTTAGTAGTTTTTCAAACAAAAAATTATCAAACATTGTATCACATTATAGACCAAATGATTTATAACTATATATATATCTACAGTAAAATCTAAAAATAAAAATAAACTTATATTTCTATTATTATTAATAATAATATTTTCTTCAATATATAACTTAATTTTCTTAACATTTTGATAACATTTACTGTACATTTAAATTACAAGTTTTATTTGCGTATATACTGTAAATATAACTTTATATTCAATATTATATTAAATAGCGTATAATTATTATTATTACTACAGTGTGTATATGTTAATTACATACAATATTGTTGTTAATCATATTAAATATAAGTTATAATAATATTTTATATATATATATACAGTATATATATCTACTTATAATACCCCGGGTATATAAATGTTAATATACTGTAAATCCATATATTTTTTTCACACACCATAAAAACAACAAAAAAAAGTGCAAAAAACAAAATCATAGGTCATATAGAAATATATATAGATATTATTATATATATATATTATAGAAAATAAAAGATATTTATAAACAACAAGTGGGCAACAAAAATATATGACAACAATAATAATAATTAATATTATTATTATTATACAATAGTTTAATAAACTTTGTTATTAATACTAAATTTAAGTAAAATCTCTTATTTATTATTATTATTTAACTATATTTTTCACGAATCCTATTGTAATGATTAGGCAAATACATAGCCATATATTTTGAACAATAAAATACTGTATTTATTATATTTCATTAGTTTTTCATATGATATATACTGTAATATATATATATATATATATATATATATATATATATATATATATATATATATATAATGTATAAACAAGTCTTATAAGTGATTATGAATTGATTTAATAATATTAATAATATTATACTAATATTTTTCTTTACTAAAACTTTTTCAATTGAATTAAACATATCTTATTTGATTCATATATAATGTGTTATAACTTATAACTTAATAACTTATATAATCAATATATTAAGGAAAAAATAGGAGATTGTATTTCATATAGTGTTTATGGGTATATATATATACAGTATATATATGTTGTTTGTTGTTTTGTTCAATTACTAGACTATTATTTTACACTATAACTAACTATTGATAATAACATCAATAATATATAGTTTCTAACTATTATGTATTGCAAAAAAAACTTGTGATAATGTTGTTTTACATACATATGATATGTAATATTAATATTAATTTTGTTTTTAAAAAAATATAGTACTTATAGTACTCTGTTATTGATAAATGATTTTATCACTACCACTACTACTATCATATAATATACAGATTTTTAAAATTTATTAAATATTTAATAAATAAATAATTTTTAAAAAAAATATGAATAATAGAAATATAATATTGAAATTGTTTTTTATGGAAATAATTTAAATAATAATAATAATACTGTAATCATAAATATTATCAAATTATTGTTTTGTTTTATATTTTTTTAAAAATAAATATTTTTGCTTTTAATAAACAGTTTTCATAACTAGTACTAACTTATGATCAAATAGTTTTCAAAATCAAAATAAAAATAAAATAAAAATAATAAATATTTTTTTGTGGTAAACTTATTTACCGTAAATATTTTATTTAGGCTTAAAAAAATGTTTTTCAAACATAAATATTTTTTTGTTTGTTTGTTTCCCCTTATGATAAAAACTAAATTTAATTTAATTTACCGTTAATTTGAAAATATATGTTCAATGATATGTTTAGTAGTAGTAATTGAATGGAAATATTTGA